TACTGTGCTGTTCAGCAGGAATTCCACAAACATACACAGCAATGTCAGCTCTCACATCTGTAGACTGGATTTGTGTGCTTATGTTTCTGAGATAAGAAGAGCGTCAGTACACTTTGTATTGATGTGTGGGATGCCAGAATCTCTGTGTGTTTTGGAGCATTTCAAAAGACCCACTTCATTCACACACACACACGATTGCATCTGCTAAAACAGACTACAGGACTTAAAAACAATCAGTCTGAAATGAAAAATGCATGAGAGACACATGAGAAAAAGAAAGGGAGAAATCGAGAGGGAAAGTGAAAGATTGACAGAGAGAGTGAGAGAAAACGAGAGAGACCCGCGTGGTGGTATTGCTGTACGTGAGGGTCATTCTGCTATTCATAGCCAATAGTTTCCTTCAGTGCTGCTTAGGTCAGTTTAACTACAACAACAGACACGCAGAAAGCATCCATTAAAAAAACAGAATATTACAATAGAGCTAATACCCACACCCACACAACTAGAGCTGCAGGCCAGGGTGAGTATTTTTCCATCCTTCAGTTTTGATTCCATCAGAAAAGTGACGTTGTCAAGCTGTGTGTGTGTTTGCATGTAATACTTTGGGTATAATATTGTCCCAGAAGTGAGGTAAATCTAAATGAAATCCGGCATTCACAGTGGGAAAATCCATTCATAAATAAAGCAAAAAATCTTTATTGAATGTTCTCATTTATAAGTGTGTTTGATCTTTAGACTGGGTTAGTTCAAGGTCAGAGGCACTGGGACTTTAGTAGAATGGAAACTAGAGAAAGTTTTCACCTTGAGAAATACTGACATTGGCGATCTGCTATCAGCTGATATTGACATTTTATTTTATTGGTTTATTTGCGCTTTGTGAAATAAATTCTGAAATAAATTAAAACTGAAGTTTAAAAGTGACATTGTCCTGTACATTACTGTCGTCTTTTATGGCACACTTTGTAGAACTGATTTTCAAGTAACTTACTGAATTAAACATGAAATTTTGAAGTAGACATTTTTTTATTGTATATACTTGTTGTAAAATGTAGTTTTATTTACAACTTGGAAAAATCTTTTTTTTTTTTATAGTGCAGAGTACACTGTAAATGCACTAAAACACTAAAAGCATTGGCTTTCATTCACTGATTAGACAGATTTATTAATTTACAACCAATTTGAAATTTAGAAATAATTCGAAATGTGGTGCATCATGACATTATGATAAAATAATTATTCTGCACTTGAATTTTTATATCTTTGCAAAATTTCTGTTGCTTACCATTATGTCATGCCATATGTAACAATATTGATGTATTTGTAGAAATACCCTACGCAAGTTTGGAATAATTAAGACTTTTTAATATTGTTATGCTCACAAAGGCCCACCATTTATTTTATTAAAAATAGAGTAAAAACAGTAATATTGTGAAAAATTATTACAATTTAAATGAAATGTTTTCTATTTGAAAATATTTAATTTATCCATGTGATGTAAAGCTAAATTTTAAGCATCATTACTCCAGTCTTCAGTGTCATATGATCCTCCAGAAATCATAATATGCCTAATATATATATAGGACTATAATATATATATAAGGACTGGAGTAATAGCTGCTAAAAATTCAGCTTTGCCATCACAGAAAATAAATTACATTTTAAAATATATTCAAATAGAAAACAGCTATTTTAAACTGTAATATTTATAATATCAGATATATGCAGCCTTGGAGACTTCATAAGAGACTTCTTACAAAAACAGTAGAAAGATCTTCATTATTCCAGACTTTTGACTAGTGGTGTATATGTATAAGTCTGTGGATAAAACAGCGGGCCAGTGTCACACAGACCTCTGAGGTGAAGGCCCACTGTATTATCTACAACACATTAACAGTGCTGTTCACAGGCTTTAGCATTCATTTTCACCCTCTCTGTGAAGATGAAGTGTTTTCAGAGATATTATCAGCAAACGTCTCACTGATTCAGAGAAGCTGTTTCTTTATTGTGAGAGTAGTCAAGTCAAGCTGCAGAAGTGTCTGAAGTCTTCCTGTCTGTAATTAGTCCACTTCCAAGAGTAGAGACTGTACAGAGAAATACTGCGCTAGAGGCTATGGGCTGATGCAGCTGAAATATTTATTGTAGTTTTTTATTATAGCCCAATTTTCTGCTCATATACAGCTGTGATGAACAAGGCAGAGAAATACAGGGATAAAATGAAAGGATATTCTCACTCTTTGGGTGGGTTGAGTAGATATTTGAATATTATACATCTAGTTTGTTAAAAAAAGAAAAAAACAATAACAACACAACACTATAATGTGCAATATAAATGATGGATAAAATTATAAAACATATACTGATCAAATTAGAATAACAAAATAATAATATAATTTATATAATAAATATAAACAATACATTATACTAAATATTTTGATACAATAAATATAGTAGAATATTGTGCATTCCTAGTTTACTGGATTAAGAAATAATTTTTGAATTATTCTTTGACTACAATGTCCTGCTTTATTCATTTTCGTACAAAATGTATTTTTCTTTGTCATTTACTCAATATGAGTTAACACAGACACGAAAGTAATGTCAAATTTCAAACCGATTTTCAGCTAACAATCAGGCTTTGTGTCTCACTAAAGTCATCCCTCTGTGTTTTCTTTTTATAGACTTGAACAAGCTGAACTTGCAGAGCAATGCAGGCCCAGGATCTGATCCGGCACCTGCGGATACCTGAGCTGGACGACTTGAGGCAGTATGTGCGCAGTTTACCCACCAACACCCTCATGGGCATGGGTGCGTTCGCTGCCATCACCACATACTGGCTGGCCACCCGTCCCAAAGCAGTTAAACCACCCTGTGACCTCCACATGCAGTCCGTGGAGGTGCAGGTAGGTGTCAAAATGCTTCCATAAATATTTTATATCACAAAACTAATTTGTTGAGCAATGGTGAGGTGAAATGGTTCAGGTAGAATAGTCTCTCAGAGTCAGTCTGTGTGTAAAACTCCGGGTAGTCTACGTTATAGTTTTTTCAGGCCACATAAACAGGAAGGACCCATATAACCTACATGCAAAACAACCAACTACTGTTTAGATGATGACACTTTAATACTCTGGCATGCAGCAATGTGGTAACTATTTCATTTTGAGATGATTAATTATTAACTATGCAATCATTTGTTAAAGAAAGCAGAATACACAGTTGCACTTGAGGATATCTTGTTGCAGTGTTACTTGTTTTGATGCCTTATATTTCACTTTAAACTTTGCCGTAAAACTTTGGGAAAGCAAACGACTAATTCCTCATTGGAAATGCTCATTGTGGCCACCTGGTTTAAAAAAAAAAGAACTCCCAGAAGATTGATAAAAAACTAGTGCATTCTGGTTTCCAACAGTTGCTTAGCAGCCATATGGCTTGCAAATCCACCAAGGTCATGAGAAGTCCTGCACACTATCATAGCTTGTGAAACATGAATGTGTAACAATCACATTTATTTAACACGTTCAATGACCTTTGAAGGCATTTCAGAGGCAAAAGGGTGAAGGCGTCTGTCAGATGCGACCGTGATTTTTTTGCAAGCTTCCTGTAAAAAGCAGTTCAGCTTATGGCTTCTGTGCACTGTGGCTTCCTCTGGGTTCACCACGGCACGGTCTTTTTGCATGCATGTATGAACTCCCGAGTTCCCCATCTCTGTGACATACTGTACATTTTGTTAGGTCTTAGTGCAGAAAACATTTGCTGTGCTTCTTGTGACCGTGCATTGTGGTTTCATGGTTTCCACAAAAACATTAAGCAGCACAACTATTTTCAACATTTCTACAGGAATGTTTTTTAAGCACCAAATCTTGAATGATTTTTGAAGGATCATGTGACACTGAAGACTGGAATATATTAAAATACGTTTCATTTATGGCATACACTTTTAAAAAAAACTTTTTTTTAATTATAATAATATAATACAGGTGCATCTCAATAAATTAGAATGTCGTGGAAAAGTTAATTTATTTCAGTAATTCAACTCAAATTGTGAAACTCGTGTATTAAATAAATTCAATGCACACAGACTGAAGTAGTTTAAGTCTTTGGTTCTTTTAATTGTGATGATTTTGGCTCAGAATCACATGATAATTAAAGAGATCACATGATCAATCAGGACACACACAGAGAGGAAAAAAAAAAATAAATAAAAAAAAATAAAAATAAAATAAAAATAAAAGGCCACAATGTGTGTATATGTAGAGCAATGGATTGTCAAGAGGAAAATGAGAAACAAGAGACACAACTGATCACCTCCATGCCACGCCGAATTTAAAGCAAAAGGAGCCCCTACCAAGTATTGAGTACATGTACAGTAAATGAACATACTTTCCAGAAGGCCAACAATTCACTAAAAATGTTTTTTTTATTGGTCTTATGAAGTATTCTAATTTGTTGAGATAGTGAATTGGTGGGTTTTTGTTAAATGTGAGCCAAAATCATCACAGTTAAAAGAACCAAAGACTTAAACTACTTCAGTCTGTGTGCATTGAATTTATTGAATTTATTTAACAATTTGAGTTGAATTACTGAAATAAATTAACTTTTCCACAACATTCTAATTTATTGAGATGGACCTGTATCTTGCTCAAATATAGATATATTTTTTAACGTTTTTTTAACTATTTTTTTTCTTCAAAAAACGTCAAAACTAACTTACCACAAACTTTTGAATGGTAGTGTATGTGTGTTGGGACAGCCCACCTACAGCTGTTTTTGGAATGCTTTTTCATCACATTCCTGCTTTTTTTCTCACACACTTTTGTTCTCACACACTGAGTAGTTTTTGTGTATATGTGTGTGTAACTTTGCTTTGGATACAAATAACTGCAGCCTCTTTCAACCGATGTGTGTAATTATAGATGTATGTCCTTGATCTCTGTCTTTGGCTGAAAGAGTTTGGGTATTCTCACCATTTCTTGTATGTTTGCTATGGTAACACACTGAAACATGTTGGCGACAGCTTTAAAGCGAGCATCTGTAAATTCCTTTAGCATGAAGTCTTCCTTCCTTCTGCTGTCAATGGCCTGGTCTTTTTTTTTTTTTTTAATCAAACACTAATGCAGGGAAAGTAAATTGTATTTTCTTCCTGCTGTCAACTTTGATCTTGGACAAATTAATGCTGCAGGTCCTCAAATTTGATTGGCGTTACAAGATATCTGATGTACTGATGTACAACAGCACTGGGACGATTCGCTGTTTCTGTTCACACTTTGCCAGACTATCAATCTGGTGTGAAAACGAAGTGAGAGCGGATTTGCCTGGAGTAAGGAGTTGTTGTTTTTTTTTTTTTTGGTATAGAACATCATAGATTATTTGTTTTGTTTTTCAGGGTAGTAGATATGCTTGTCGGTCCATTCTACAGGACGGTGACACATACATGACGTACTACTATAAAGACGCTCAGACAATGTATGAGTTTTTCTTACGAGGACTACGAGTGTCAAGTAAGTCAACTAGTATTTAAAGTAGATATTAAAATCACCCAAAAATGAAGCCTGTCATCATGCGTGAGATCTTCACATTTTTATGTGTTATTTTTATAGATAATGGTCCTTGTTTGGGATCACGAAAACCGGGCAAGCCATATAAATGGCTTTTGTATAAAGAGGTAAGATTGCTATAGTCTGCTTTGTATTCTGAGCAAAATTGATTTGAAACCTTATTCCAGAACTAGTGTAGCCTTTTATTCTCTGAATGTTTTATTGATTGCCCTGTCTTGTTTCTATTTTATCCCATGTGGCTGTTCATTTGAGTAAGTTGTGTATATTCATATGATGTTCATGTTTGTAGGTAGCAGACAGGGCAGAGTTCGCAGGTTCAGCATTACTCCACAGAGGTCACAGTCAAACAGGAGACAAATACATTGGCATCTTTGCACAGAACAGGCCAGAGGTAATCACATGCACACTGACACAGATTCCTACTAAAACTGTCAACCTCAAATATGATGGTTTTGGTGAACACAGGACTGTAGGCGAATGGCAGGCTTATGTTCACTCATATAAAAATAAAATAAGCAATATATTGACTTTGCTTATTCAGTGCTTTATTTGTCTGCCACAATTATATAGTAACTTCTGAATTATCTTCATTTGAGGGGCTTTGTAAGGAATACTGATATATGCGATAATATATCAAAGTATCATGTAATCACTTCAGTTACATATTGATTGACAGCCCTAAATCCTACATGAATTGCTTTGCTTATTATACAGCAGGTGTGGCAACTTCTTAATTCTGTTTTGTTCATTCTATATTATTTCTATGTAAGATAAGCTTATTTGTGCATACAGTATGTATATTCTACAACTGATTCAATTGTGTGTACAATTTCTGTAGTGGACGATTTCAGAGCTGGCGTGTTACACATATTCACTGGTGGCAGTGCCACTGTATGATACACTTGGTACAGAGGCCATCAGCTATATCATTGACAAAGGTGAGCAAGCGCACAGCATTTTTTACAATTCTGTGCAATACTTTTATGATATATTTCCCTTCTATTCAGTTTTTATTTCTGCAAATAACATTTTTTAATGAGGACTTTCAAAATTGTTTGTGTCCTTTTTCAGAAAAGTGTTTTGTTTACTGAAATAGGAATTAAAATCCAATTAATTAGATCATTAGTAATCATATTTCAATCGTAAGAACTCTTGTAATAGTTTTAGCATGTTAAAGGTTATTACAGTATTATTGTATTTGGACTTGGTGTGCTAGATCGACTGCACACTGTTGCTGCTGTAGAGCAAGTATGGGCTTGCTGCTGCCAATAGATACACAGACAAGCTGCTGTGAGCATGTATGATATGCTGCTGCTGCTACATGAATCCCATATATCCCATACCAGATCTAGACAGGTGGAGCTGGGAGAGGTGGAGGGTTTCAGAGGAAATTTACCAAAACTATTTTTAATTTCACTTGAAGATTTTAATGAAGATGGAAATTGTGTTGACATGTCGTGTTGTTGAAATTATGAGAACTTTGTTTTGAGTAAGAGCCTTTGTTGTAGCCACCATCTCCACTGTGATCTGTGACATCCCGGATAAGGCTCGTTTGATCCTGGACTGTGTGTCTGGCCGGAAGCACAGCGTCACAACCATAGTGATCATGGGGAACTTTGACCGTGAACTGACTGCACAAGCACAACAGAAAGGCATTGAGGTCCTGAGCCTCAAGGAGCTGGAGGTTTGATTACACACACACACACACACACACACAAACACACACTTAGACACCCTTGGTAAGCAGTGATCCCATTAATCTTGTATTTGTGCTGCACTAAATAAAGTCTTTCTTTTGACAGGCTATTGGCAAAGCCAACCACAAGACATCCATTGTGAGTAAAACTGAGCACTGTTTTGATTTACAGACTTATAACTGTGAATAATGAATAATTTTATTTGAATGCTTTATTATTTGTTTTCTGCTTCATGGTGATTAGTCCTCATTTTGCCTTTTTATTTCTAGCCTCCTAAACCAGAGGACCTGGCACTGATTTGCTTCACAAGTGGAACTACAGGTAAAATTGTTTATATACTGTATTTACTATGTATTTAACTATTTAATTGTCATTAATCGCAGAACTATTTTGTAGTTAACACATTAATGCATTCTAATCCTTTTTAATGAAAGAGAACAAAACAGTATGCACAAATGTGGCTGCAACAATGATTGAGTATTTGATTTGTACTGGAGAAAAGGATCAGTCTGATTCATGAACAAATGATTCAGACTGGTTTTATGAACTGGATCAACTGAGTGTGCCAAGGAGAACTACTGTAGAGTGAATTTCAAGATTTTAGTGAATAATGACTATTCCTTTAGAAAAAATACGACTTTTTAGTGTATTAGTCATACAGAACATCTTTTATGATACTTGTATGATTTTTTTGTTGTTGTCATTTTAGAGATTGACAACCCTACTCCTGATTCATTTTATTTTTTAATCTGTCTTTCAGATGTTGCCTCATTGTATCCTGTCATGTTTTATCATTTTTTAGGACTCCAACTCACTCAGAGAATTAATGTATCATTTTTTCTTTCTTTTTTTTTCAACAGGAAGTCCAAAGGGAGCAATGCTCACACATGGAAACGTTGTTTCCAATTGTTCCGCTTTCATTAAAGTTACAGAGGTAAGCCAAGAGATTTCCACGTCTGTATCCTTTAAAATGTATTGTTTAACCATGTATTTCCTCATTTGTAAGCCACTTTGGATAAATGCATCTGCTAAATTAATATATGTAAAATTGTAGTGAAGTCTTTCTCGGGAAACAAGAGCAAAAATCACAGCCAGTGAGATTTAAATGGCAGATCAGATATGTGCAGTTTTTAGGAGCATGTTACCTTCATTTTGCCAGTTAATTGTTAAGTGAAATGTTTTCTTCAAATCAACTTCATTCTTTTTGTCTTTCTGTTATGTTCACCTCTTCTTGTGCCTCATTTTCTCATTTAATTGTCTGTTTCCTGTTCCATCCTCCCTCGTGTCTTGTGTATTGATGTGTTTGTAAATGTGTATATGCGTCTGGTTAGGGGTTGCTGAAACCTAGTCCTCAGGATGTTCTCATCTCCTTCTTACCGTTAGCGCATATGTTTGAAAGAGTTGTAGAGGTACGCTGTATTTCACACCGCACGTGTGTGTGTGTGTGTGTGTTTTACAGGTTCACTGCATGCTAAACCAGACAGACATTCACATTTCTTACCTACCACTAGCACACATGTTTGAGAGAGTGGTCGAGGTATGTATTATGCATGCACACAGTCATTAAAAAATGTTTAATATATTTTCTATACAGTTTGTAACAAAGTTAATTTTTAAGGGATATTTTGGTTAAAGGAATAGTTCACCCAAAAATGAAAATTTGTTGAAAACTTATTACCCTCAGGCCATCTAAGATGTAGATAGGTTTGTTTCTTTATCGTAACAGATTTGGAGAAAGCTAGCATTACATCACTTGCTCACCAATGGATCCTCTGCAGTGAATGGGTGCCGTCAGAATGAGAGTCCAAACAGCTGATAAAAGCCTCACAATAATCCACAAGTAATCCACACCACTCCAGTCCATCAATTAACATCTTGTGAAGTGAAAAGCGGCATGTTTGTAATAAACAAATCCAAATTATTGTGATGTTTTTATCAGCTGTTTCACCTCTTATTCTGACAGCACCCATTCACTGCATAGGATCCATTGAGCAAGTGATTATATGCTAAGTTTCTCCAAATCTGTTCTGATGAAGAAACAAACTCAGCTACATCTTGGATGGCCTAAGGGTGAATACATTTTCAGCAAACTTTCATTTTTGGTTGAATTATTCCTTTAAATATATGATATTTTGATTTCTTGACTGCATATATATGCTGTATATATAGAGAGAGAGATTAATTTGCATTATATTCTTGTTGCATAATTGTGTTTGTTTTGTGTGTAGGGTGTGCTTCTGGTCCATGGGGCCAGGATTGGATATTTTCAGGGTGATATCCGTCTACTGATGGACGATTTGAAGACTCTTAAGCCCACTATATTCCCTGTAGTGCCCAGACTACTCAACCGCATGTTTGATAAGGTACTTCTGTTTAGTTATACACACATAAACTGTTTGCATTTATGTGTGTGAGCTTAAATATACTCAGTGATCTTTGCTCATTATACATTCATGAATGTTTGCATTAAGATCTTCGGACAGGCGAACACTCCTCTCAAAAGATGGCTGCTGGATTTTGCTACCAGTAGGAAAGAGGCGGAGCTTAAAAGTGGAGTTGTGAGGAAGGATAGCATGTGGGATAAAGTGATCTTCAGCAAAGTGCAGGTAACCAGACAAAGCGGAGAAAGAGTGTGTTAGAGCCCAAGGACAGAACAATCTGATGGAAACCATAGAGAACCTATAAAGACTCTGTTGCCTAGCAACACACAAATTCAAAAATATTCAGCATCCAAATGCCTAACATTTATAAAGCAAAAAAAAAAAAAACAAAGCAAGAGAAATCATGTCTCATCTAAAGGCTCATTCACACCAAGGACGATAACTATAACTGTAAAGTTGTAATGATCATTCTGATCCTATGAGAATATGGAAGTCCACAGCACAGCCATAACAATACTGATGCAAAGGAACGATATTGTTGGAATCATTTTCAGAATGATTTTTGGTAACATTTTACATAAAGCCTGATTGTATAATGCATTACAACACACATTTTGAATACCTTTATAATGCATTATACATAAAGGCTTTAAGTAAAATGTTTTAATGCATAATGTGTTTTAATGCATTATACTTTCTAACAATGTATAACAATTAATAGATAAGTATTATAATGTATTATAACTGTGGTTACAGTTATTGATCAGATCATACAATGCATTTTAAGGTGCATTACAAGGCATAATTAATGCATTAAAAGGTAATATTGTTTATAGTTATCTTTCTAATTATTGGTTATCATTTTTGGTGTTTTTTCATGTTTTTCAAAAAGTGTCTTATGCTCACCAAGGCTGCATTTATTTAATCAAAAATAAAGTAATATTATGAAATATATAAAATATTATGAACATATTATGATATATATATATATATATATAAATGTAATTTTTTCCTGTGACGCAAAGCTGAATTTTCAGCATCATTACTGTAAGTGTAATGATCCTTACATGATCCTTCAGAAATCATTCTAATATGCTATGTTGCTCAAGTAATATTTCTTGTTATCAATGTTGAAAACCATTGTGCTGCTTATTATTTTTGTGAAAACTGATATATTGTTTTTCAGTATTTTTTGATGCAGTATTGAGCCTTGTTATGAATAGACCGTATGAGTTCTTCTGCTTATGTCATATCTACAATAGTTTGCTCAGAACTGTCACTTATATAAACTGTCACAGATATGAAATGCAGTTATTAATTAAACTCTATAACCTTTTTGTAACTAAACTATGCATGAACATAACACTCCAAACAGAACTGTGACAACTGTTTTCTGCTACTATGTACCATAACCTTATAGTGACTCCTGTGACTCCCCCTACAGGCCAGTTTGGGTGGACGTGTGAGGCTCATGATCACAGGAGCCGCTCCTGTCTCTCCAACCGTCCTCACCTTCCTGCGAGCAGCGCTGGGCTGCCAGGTACACAAACACACAGAGACCTCTGTTCTCCTGCTATCAGTATTCCCACAACTGGTTTTTAGGTTACTGTTTTTTATAATTCTTTTTTTGGTAGTTTTATGAGGGTTATGGGCAGACAGAGTGTACGGCAGGCTGCACTATGTCACTTCCTGGAGATTGGACAGCAGGTAAGATGATGTACACGTGTTAACACATAAAACAAACAGATACACCTTAAGTAACGTATAAACATCCTGTAACACAAACTCTCTTGGTCTCTGTACCCAGGTCATGTGGGAGCACCGCTGCCCTGTAACTTTGTTAAACTATTGGATGCGCCTGAAATGAATTATTTTGCAGCAAATGGAGAGGGAGAGGTGTGTCACCAGTTAAATTATAGAATTTTAAAAGGAGTGTTCTGGGTTTAATACAAGTTAAGCTCTATTGACAGCATTTGTGGCTAATGCTAATGGTGTACCTCTCAGTTGACTGGTGTGGGGCTGTGTGTGTCCTCCACAGGTGTGTGTGAAAGGATCAAATGTGTTTCAAGGTTACCTGAAGGACCCAGAGCGGACCTCAGAGGCCATAGATAAAGACGGCTGGCTGCACACCGGAGACGTCGGCAAATGGCTCCCGGTAAATTCCATATCTTCTCTTAACACTTCTGTGCCTTATTTACTCTCTTTCGTATCTTTTTTAGTCTCCCAGTTCAGTTCTAATTTAATCAGTGTCCTTATTTCTGTGAATCGTCTACTTCAGGGGTCGGCAACCTTTTGGGCATGAAGAGCCATTTTAAATTTTTCTGGTTAATCACTGTGCCAATAAGCCCCACTTTCATCTTTCTCTCTTTCCTTTGCATCACTGGATATAGCTGTCAGTCATTTAAAATTTCCATCATAAAACAGTTGACATATTAAATGATTTGCGTTTTGCAAATTTCCATCTTACCTCAAAACTGACGTTTCACGCTGGAATTTGCATTCTGCTTCTGTGAACAGTAAACCTACTACTTTGATTTGATTGGCCAACATTATTTTGACATTGACGAATGCTGTTTGGTTAAAACTACTGTAAAAACAGCAATACTGAAAAACAAAGCAAGAGATATTCATGTCTTAAGGCCCATTCAAGGATTATTACTATAACTATAAAGTTTTAATAATCGTTCTAATTCTATGAGAATAGTCCACACCACAGCTATAAGGATAATGACACAGAGGAACAATATCACTGGAATGATTTTCAGAACCATTTTTATCAGCTGATGAACAAACACACTGACAGCCAATCAGAATCTGCCCGATTTTAAAACCCTAAAGTATTTAAAGCAGCAGAAGACATTACATTATTAGCATGTACATTTTAATGAACAAGTAAGATATTAATTGTCACTGGCATTAGTGCTCATAGAGTCAGTGTAATTTTTACCTTCATGTAGCCACCAACAACCTAACCACGAGCAGTACCCTTTAGCACATAACAGAAACTTTTAAATGTCAAACATAACAGCATTAAACAGGTTTTCCCTTCACTACAAACCCATAAAATAACACTTAATTTCAACTTGTATTCTTCTTATCCAGTGGGTGGGTGCTTAAATTACACCAATATTAAGTTAATGTGATGATTAAAATTGTCAAATTAAAAGGTTTAAATAAATCAATAATTTTAATTTGCAACCATGCATTTATTTGTGATAACAGGTCTCTTGAATTACTACTTAGAGCTGTATATATTTGGTGAATATTATAAAAATTTTAAATAATTGTTTTCAAATTTTTTTTAAATATAATGTATATTACTGTGATGCAAAGCTGAATTTTCAGCAGCCATTACTTCAGTCTTCAGTGTCACATTTCTTATTATTATCAATGATGTTGAAACAGTTGTGCTGCCTAATACATTTTTTTCAGGATTCTTTGATGAAATATAAAGTTCAAAAGAAAAAAGAAAAGTTATCGTGATCAAGATTTTTCCACACTACTGCATGCGTGTCCACTGAACTTCTGCACAGTCCTTCCAAATTGTTGCAAATTTTGTAATATTTTGAAGTTAATGCTTGCGTTTTAAGAGAACAGAAACCTTGCATATTCTTTTTTATTTAATTAGTGAAGTTGAGTATGCATTGTTTTAGAATGGGACTCTGAAGATTATAGACAGGAAGAAACACATCTTCAAGCTGGCTCAGGGTGAATACATCGCTCCAGAGAAGATTGAGAACATCTACATCCGCAGTGACCCTGTGGCTCAGGTTTTTGTTCATGGAGACAGTCTGCAGGTGAGAGAGAGTGAACCATTAATATTTGATGTAATGGGTGAAATTACATTGTCATTTGCGGTGAGGGTGCGGGTCTGAAAATCAGGCGGACTACGGGTCCAACAGCCAAGACTCAACTTAAAGGGTTACTCCACCCCAAAATGAAAATATTGTCATTAATCACTTACCCCCAAGTCGTTTCAAACCCGTAAAAGCTTTGTTCGTCTTCGGAACACAATTTAAGATATTTTGGATGAAAACCGGGAGGCTTGTGACTGTCCCATAGACTGCCAAGTAAATTACACTGTCAAGGCCCAGAAAAGTATGAAAGACGTTGTCAAAATAGTCCATCTGCCATCAGTGGTTCAATCTGAATTTCATGAAGCGACGAGAATACTTTTTGTACGCAAAGAAAACAAAAAGACAAAAAAACAAAAAAATCGCTTCATAAAATTCAGATTGAACCACAGATGGACTATTTTGACGATGTCTTTCATACTTTTCTGGACCTTGACCTTGTTATTTACTTGGCAGTCAATGGGACGGTCACGGTTTTCATCCAAAATATCTTAAATTGTGTTCCGAATATGCTGTTCTACTTGTCTGTGTCAGCCGCACCATACGGATACGTTTTCTACGTTTATTTACGCTTTGATTTGAACGAAAACAGCTTATCCGTGTGGTGCGGCTGACACAGAACAGCATACGCACTTTTTGTACGCAAAGAAAACAAAAAGACAAAAAAACAAAAAAATCGCTTCATAAAATTCAGATTGAACCACAGATGGACTATTTTGACGATGTCTTTCATACTTTTCTGGACCTTGACCTTGTTATTTACTTGGCAGTCAATGGGACGGTCACGGTTTTCATCCAAAATATCTTAAATTGTGTTCCGAAGACGAACGAAGCTTTTACGGGTTTGGAACGACATGGAGGTAAGTGATTAATGACAAAATTTTCATTTTGGGGTGGAGTAACCCTTTAATTTGATACCCACTGAAAGGCAGCGGCTTTCAAACTGTCCCGTGCTTATTTGTGTTTGCGCTCTGTAGTCTGAAGGCCGTCAACCGTTTCTATTTACAACACAATTTGCAGAGTTGAGCATTGTACCCAAACAGGACCCTGGACTTAATGACTGTCACTTCTACACAGCAGTGAATCAGAGAGTGTGGATGTGGTTTGGTGGGTCAGAGGATAGAATATGTGTGGGTATGTGCTATAAGTGAGAGTAAACCCATCCTGTGTCTTTGTAGGCATGTTTAGTGGGTATTGTGGTTCCTGATCCAGACTTTCTGCCAGGATGGGTAAAGAAAAGAGGCATTGAGGGCTCCTACACTGAAATGTGCAAAAGCAAGGTAAAACACTTACACAGAAAAAAAGACACTTGAAAGCTCTGGATTCAATGCTTTAATTTTTTATTTGCTGTTGAAAGCATTAGGACTTGAGATTTTGAATGAGCTGTAGTGTTTAAATGGCCTGAGCCACCCTTAAAGATCTGATGTCTGATATTGTGTTTAAACAGGAACTGAAAAATGCCATCCTAGAGGATATCATTCGGCTAGGCAAAGAAGCTGGACTGAAGTCCTTTGAACAGGTGAATCTAATGAACACAATTCTTGATAACTTCAACACTGCTGCAAATCACCTTTTTACACAAGGTTTTAAGCAAGGTTTTTAACCAGGGTCTGGGGATCCCTGGTTGTCCATAAATTACTGTAGGAGGTCCGTTAACTCACAAATAACACACAAAATGTTTTTTTAAATTTTGAAAAAAATCTTTGATATAGCATATAAAAAAAATCTAAATATGAATAAGAATTAATTTCTAAACAATTTGTGCAATAACCTTTTAAAATCATAATTAATTTTTTTTATACAGAATAAAAATTATATTTATATTAATAACACAAGTGTAGCATAATGTAAGTTATGTACATTATGTAACGTAATTGTTAGTGTTGATCAAATTTCTACATTAAATTAATTTTATTGTCCAAATGAGAGAGTAACATCATTTTAAGAATGCATTCTTAAAAATAATTATTAAAATAATGTTAATCTCTCTGTTGGACTATAAAATGAAGTTAATTTAGAAATTGGGTCTACACTAGTTTAGCATAATGTAATAAAATATCATTTGTATAATTTTATTTTACAATTATTATTTCTACTAATAGTATAATTGTTATAAATAGTATAATGAGATATACAGAAATATATATTAAATATAATTATGATAAATATTTTGAGTCCCTAAATAATATAGTTATAGTTAATATTAAAATTATTATTGTCATTAATATTGTTAATCTGAAAAGTAAAATTTTTTTTTTTTTTTTACTGGGGTCCCTGGGTCAGAAAGGTTTGATGACCCCTGTACAAGAATGACTGTATTCTTTTCTTATCTCTGTGTTTGTGTGTGTAGGTGAGAGACATTGCCCTGCACATGGAAATGTTCTCTGTTCAGAATGGACTCCTCACGCCAACACTGAAAGCAAAGAGAACCGAGCTGAGAAACCACTTCAGAGAGAAGATAGACCAGCTCTACGCTAAAATCAAAATGTGAACAACTACAGAAAGAGTGAGAGAGAGAGAGACACCCGTCTACACTGAGGGTGAACTAGAACACCCCAAACATGCATACTTGCAATGTGGTGATGATTATGAAGGAGGTGCTCCAGTTCTGTCATGCTGTTCCATCACTCACATGGTGGGGAGAGAAGGACCACTGCGGCTGGTACTTTTGTCATTTCTACCACTTGGAGGTGCCACAGTCATCTCTCAGAAGAGGTGAAGTATTGTCCCACCAGCGAAGCACATACCAAACATTTCATGAGCCCTGCTATTCATCTGTGATGGCACCTGGAAGTGAACCACCCCAATGCTTTAGGCCAGTGAATGCCTTGAGTGTAATAACCCAGAACACACCTGCAAGATCATATAAAACAAAACGACAAATGCCAAAAAGGTTTCTGATTTGTAAACCATGTGCAGATATTTTTCTCAACACTTATTTAAAATAGAGTGGTTTCCATTAAACTTCAGTAAATGGATATTTATCAGTGCTTACTATTGAAATTTATATTGTGAGTCACAATGCTTTTGTTATGGTAACAAACAAATGGTATGGTTATGTGTTTGACATCTGGTCTAAACAGGTCTTTTCTATATCTAAATAATAGATTTTCACTGAAATTGACAGTGAAATGACATCACAAATTGGTTCTTGTTGATACTCAGATTCCACTAACAGCACTTTGGAATCTCGGTACATCTCAAATGTGCCTCTCTCCTGGAGATTAAACCTTGTATATAGGTTATCTATTTATGTTTGTACATCTTTATTGTATTCATGTAAATTGTGCAAACAGTTATTTGTAGCATGCGGTGTTGAAGAGAGAAATAAACTGATGGCATTGTCTTTTAATAGTGTTTGGGTTCCTATTCATTAACGTTGTAACAGTGCCTATGTTAAAAAAAAAGGGAGCTTTACACAGTGGAATTGTAGTATTTCTGGTTCATATTCCACAGAATAGCCAAGACAGTGGGAATTATCTTGGAATGGGTGAGAACTGCGATATTAAGCATAAAATTAAGTTGAGTGTAGGTTAAAAACTCAAAGAAAACACAAAAGACATTAATACGCTACAAATCACAAGAAAAATGTGACTTGTGGTACAGAGCTGCTGTATAAAAAGGCCACTTGGTTGCCTAATATTTTATTCTCTGGTGCCATTTTTATTTAAAAATGTTATTTTATTTTATATTTAAAAAAACATCAATGTGGGCAAAAAGATTCCATTACAATATAATGTGTACCATAAAGAACTACTCTATGACCTGCTACTAAGAGTACAACAATGATTTTCATATAATTGAAAGAATGAAACTGAAAAGGCAATGAGGCATATGGTAAAAAATGTATGGATGAGAAACTCCTCTCCTTGCTTCCATTGTCGTTTACTCTCACCTGTGCCTAAGGCTATTGAGCCACCTGAGCAAACTTTCTTAATAAAAATACCCAGAAATTCAAGAAACTAGTCTCACTGGCTGTCAGTGTCCTACACAATTTATAGACACTGGAAGCAGAATAACATGCTTTTTGCAACCTGCCTAGGAACCAACAAACACACATTATAGATTCAACTGTCCTCTGGAAATACATTTCTATAGTTTCCAAACATCATTTGATTAAAGGGGTCCTATTATGCTTTTTCACTTTTTGAATTTTAGTCAGTGTGTAGTGTGTATGTTTGGACATAAAAAAGATCTACAAAGTTACAAAGAAGTGCTGCTGCAAATTTGGTGCATCAGAGAAAACGAAGAAGAGCTGCTTGTAGCGTCAAGTTTTGAGGGGAGTCATGAGGGAGTACCATAGGGGAGTACAGTGCTGGTTTCGCCAAAAAGATTTTGCTGAAAGACGGAGCAGTTCCCACTTTGTCGGGACAATCTGCTGTATCTGCATCACAGCCTGTAAGTGTGCTGCTTTATTTGTTGTTGTGTGTGTTATTTACGTTTCAAAGTATAAGTTGTATGCCGTTTCTGCGATGTAATACATATTACCGTTGCACTTATCTGTACATAGTAAATGCAGTTGTTTTTAAAGCGGTTGTTGACATCCTATCTAAAACGTGATTTAGCCAATAAAACAACAATAGCGTTTCCAGTCTAATATGTCTTGCAATATCCGTGCGTGGAAAGGTTCTGCGCGATCCTCTTGTTCAATATTCTCGGGGTCTGAATCCGGCTCAAATTGATATGGCAATATTGACGCCATCGTTAACTATACCTGAGCAGACTTAACTTGCTGATTTGGTAAGGGGCGTGGCAGTACTGAAACACCGTCTAAGCTGTTCGCCAATCACAACGCACTGGGACAGTTAACCAATCACAACGCATTTCTTATTTCGGAAGGCGGGCCTTCATCAAACCCGGAACTAATCGAGCCGTTTGTGCCAGGCTGGGGAGAAAGGTATTGTAATAATGTAAATTATGTGAAAAATAATGCGTTTTTCGAACCACCAAACATGAGATCATGTTCTAGTACACCGCCAAAACAAAATCAAGACTTCGTAAAAGAGCATAATAGGACCCCTTTAATATAGCATACAGTACTTGAAAATGTCTTCAAAATGCATGAATCATGTTGGATAGATCCAGTCTTTGATTCTGATTGATCAACAAGCTAACAAAACAGCATGCCTCCATACTTTTGTATGCTTTCATTTGTTTTCTGGAGTTGAAGGATGTCTGGAGGACAAGGTTGCTTATATCTACCGCCTCGATGACAGGCAAGTATTAAAATTCAGTTGAATATCGCTCCTCGTCATAACATAAGGATCACGTCCAACATATGTTGGAGTAAAGGAGTAAACATTAAGCGGATGAGACCCACGTCTGCAGGGCAGGGACGTCCAAATTGTAGAATCTAATAAAGGTAGACAGCGACGACCAGCCGGCGGCCGCACAAATCTCCCCAATAGAGAACCAGGCCCAAGAGGAGGCCATTTCCCTGGTGGAATGGGCCCTCACACCTATAAGGCAATGCAAGCCAGCTAAGGTATAGACCAGAGCTGTAGCATCTACTATCCAATGAGATAGTCTTTGCTTTGTGACCGGCAGCCCTTTAGAGCGGCCTCCAAAGCACACAAAAAGCTGCTCTGTTTGTCTAAAAGACTCAGAGCGCTTAATGTAAACTCGTAGTGCCCGGACAGGGCACAACAAATTGGGACCTTGTTCGCCATCTGTTCCAGGGAGGGCTAAAAGGAAAATGACCTGGACTCTAAACGGAGTTGAGAGCACCTTCAGTACATAACCGCTGCGTGGTTGAAGAACGACTTTACAGTCATTGGGTCCAAACTCAAGACAGGAAGCACTGACAGACAGGGCTTGCAAGTCACCTACTCGCTTGACCGTAGCTAGGGCCAAAAGCAGAGCGGTCATGACCCTTAAGCCAGCTGTTTGAAGTGGCTCAAAGGGGGAACATTTGAGGGCTCTCAGGACTATAGACAAGTCCCATACTGGCACAGTCCAAGGGTGAGGAGGATTTAACCGCCGAGCGCCTCTAAGGAACTTAACGACCAAGTCGTTCCTGCCAATTGTCCGGCCAGCCTCGAGAGAATGATTCGCCACGATGGCTGCCACATAGACTTTAAGCGTGGAAGGGGTGCGCCCCTTATCCAGCAGCTCCTGCGGAAAGGTTAGCACGTGGGACACGTCACATGACACCGGATTCTGGCTTTGTGCTGGTCACTGAAGACTGACCATTTGAGTGCATAGAGGCACCTTGTGGACTGAGCTCTAGCCTCTAAAATGGTATTAGTAACTCTCGCTGGGAGTTGGCTAGACCAGTGTTTCCCAACCTTTCTTTAGTCGCGGCACCCTTTGGAAATTTTTACAAACTTGTGGCACCCTACAAAATTAATTTTGTCACAATATTTGAATTTCTAACTTCGATGTGATAATTTGAAAGTATAGATATTCGGTACAACAGGGAAGAACTGCAGAATATAATGTCATACAGATATTTTTAATATTATTAAAAAAATTGTCCATCAATGGTGGCAATCAGTAGGCTAATTTCTAATGAAAAGACCAATTTATATGACAGATTTTAATGTAGGCTTTTATACATATGTAAACATGATTTAATTACCATTATAACTAGCTATCTCACAAATTTTTGCTCACTCAAGTGTTTTTTTTTATTTTACAGTGGGGTAATTTTGGTGCAGTAGCAAGAGATAGCTTGATTTCAAACTTTGAATTGAATAAAAAATGACAAGGAGGCTAAGCAGTTAATAATAAAATAAGAACAAATAAAGAAATTAATAATGATAGCACAAATAAAAAATAACGACAGGCCTTCGAATTAAATAAATTGCTTTTTAGTTTTTCAGGTAGGTCTAACAATAGGGTTAAGATATTTAACTTTTTTTTTTTTTACCAATTATCCAAATAATGTTTAATCCTAGAAAGCTATTATCATCAGAGGACACATGAGCATAACATAGCGGTTAGCAGATCAATGAATGAGAGGGCAGCGTTACCAGAGTTGCCCATATACCACACCATGTTACAACACAGTAGGGCTATTGCAGACAGAAACAATACTGAACGACATCGATGTTTCCTGTCGGCTCAATTTTTGAGTGAACTTTGCTGTTCCAAATCGCATGAACGGTATACGAGTGGAGCTGAGCGGAGCGCACACACATAGAGCGGGATAATACGCAGAGCGTTACACCACGTGAAAGTGAAACCTGAGCGGTGAACTAATTTTCGGCAGCCGAAATTTTCGGTGCATCTCTAATTATTGGCAACATCAGAAATGGATATTATATAATAGATGCTTTTTTGAACATTTTAGCAATTTAAAAATATTTAAAAAATTATTTTTTTACACGGCACCCCTGCTCTCGACAGACGGCACCCTGGCACCCCGGTTGGGAAACACTGGGCTAGACTCCCGTCGAGTAGCCATGAAGGCTCAACAGTTCCGGCTGGGGATGCCAAATCTTGCCCTGTGCTTGCGAGAGAAGGTCTCTCCTCAGTTGTATGGACCACGGCACTGCAGATAGCAGCTGGATCATCTCCGGGAACCAGACTTGGTTCCTCCAGAGGGGGGCCACGAGGCTTCCCTGATTTTCCCTGACTCGCCTGATAACCCCCACGCCCACTAGTCAGCGTCAGATGCCGTCAAGGACATGGAGTCGTTGATGACCACCTCTTCTTCAGAAGTGCCAAACGAAAACCAGGCCACTCGCACTCCGACCAGGGGCGCTGATCCTCACGTGCAAAGCACACCGGCGATATGAGGCGCTGCGAGGAGAGTGAAGCACGCGGGCGCTGGGCCAACGCAACATCACGAGAGCCCAAGAAGATGGCCCTGCTATTCCGCTGCTTCTTCCTCTTGGGAGAGAAAGGAGTCGGGAGGACAGAGCGGGGAGGACCGCCTTCATGAAAGAAGGTGATCCGTGAGCGAGTTCTCGCAGTGAGAACATGAAGTCTCGGTGAGTGCAGCCTCTGGGTGGGAAGGGTGGTAAACCCCCAGACAGGCGACACACTCATGGTGACCGTCTGCTTCGTGCAAGGGTTTCTTGCACAAGCTGCAATCAAAGCAACATTTAAAAAAAAAATGCGCTTGGAAAATTGCTCAGCTTCCGTCACCGGATGGCCGCAGGGGAACTCCTTCCACTGCTAGTGGCTTGATTCCATGATGGGAGAGACAGTCTGAGCTTCTTGATTCAGCTTCTTCTGCTTTATCGCAGAGTCAGCGAAAAGATGGTCTCGTCGCTGGAGGAGAAGATTCTGATGAATTGGCACTCCGGGCCGACTTATATAGCAGTCAGCTCCGCCCCCTTCTGGCAGGCTCAAGGTTTAAGCAGCTACACAAACGTTAACAAATCAGGCTTCAGTAACAGAGTAAACAGGAGTTTCCCCAAACAAGTTGTCAATGACGATGCAACAGAAGTTACCTTTCGATAGTTAACAAGCTATAAACGATAAAGACAAGCTTTGACCGCTTCAACAAAAGGTTCTGTGCATCGCTGCGCAACACCCTTAGCAACATAATATAGTGTCAAATCTATTCCATGTATTATGTATTTCAGCTAAAAACTTTGTGTAATGAATTATGAGTGACCCTTGTTGTCGTTATGTAAGCGTCATTCACCTTTAATTTTGAGGCCACATCCTTCCAGCTGTCTTCTCATATTTGAGGTAGGTTGATATGTGTGTCTGTGTGAAAGCCCACAGTTTCCGAACAACGGTGGAAATATGACTATTTCTTTTTTTGTTTTTTTTTGTTTCAGGTAAGATAACGTTACTCATCAATTTACTGTAATGACTCTTCCAAACTAAAAGACAGAAAAACGGAAGTATATCATTTAATGAATTTACTTCAAAAAAAGTAGCATGCATACATTTTTGGTTTTAATATTTGTACTCTGTGGTAACCGTTTTATAAAAGCAATAAGAGACTCCAGGCGTGCTGTATTGTGAACAAGTCACGGCCTCTCGTACCTTATTGCTTAGAGATTGACTAATCATCCAGTGCACTGCAGAGCTGTTTAATTACATACAAAAGCTCTAGTTTACACACACAGAGAGAAAAAAAATATGTGCAATAAACATGAACAGTATGTTTTTCATGTATGCGTACATTAGTATCTCATATCTAACACACAATGCATGCATGACCTGAACTGAAATAATTCTATGTGATTTTTCTCAGATGACTGTTGCTATCATGCTGTTCATAATCATCTTGAAAGGACTAAATAAAGAGCATTCCAGATTAAATACAAAATTAAGCAGTGTGGTAATAATTGTGTCCATTACCACAAAAAGTGTATTATATATGCACCTACAGTGATGGTTGTTAAACCCACAGACTTCAACTTAAATCCACTGCTGTCAATGTTCGTACAAGTTTTTATTTCTGTGGGAATGCACCAGATGCCACTGATACCGTGACTTGATTTAACCCCAAGTATGTCTGTAAATATGCATCATTTTGTCTTAATGGAAACCTACACATGACATTTCAGAAGTTATATCAAAATCTGTTAACATGGTTCAGTGAGAGGCACCTGGGAATAGTTCTGATTGTTGTTTTTTTGCTTTTCATATTAAAATAGGCACACTGGCTCTCCTTCAATTAGGATGAATCTCAGATCTTACCGATTTAATGCCCAACTCTGATTCCCTTTCAACAGTCAAATTAGTGCAATAGCCTATTAAAATCCCTGATTACTGTAATTCTAAAAATCCCAACATGGCCTGCCACTGGTGATTGTTCATTATTAGATTTTGATTAGAAAACCAGAGGCAAAAGACAAGAAAAACAGTATATAGTCACAAGGTAAACAAAAACCTGAGCACCTATATTCACATACAATATTTTAAATGCCAATGAGAACTACAATAACAGTCCTGAGACAGAGAAATCCCAAACTGAGCATCCAGCTAATGCTCCTGCGAAAAAAAGGGTCTTAAACTCAACCCGTACACTATAGTTGTGATATTGATAGAAAAAGCTGGAAACGCTCTAACAGTTCCCTTGTCCCTTCAAGCAGTGAAGTGCATCTCTTTGGTGAGCATTGAGACAATGCAGGGGATTTGTTTCTTGGCGTCAAAGCCAGGCAGGTTGGAGGTCGACTCAAAGTCGAGTGCCACTTTATGATTGACCCTGGTCATGATCTGCATGAGCTCTAGTTCTTTGCCATACTTTGCTATCATTTCACAAAGGGACTGAATGAACCAAGAGCCAGTCATCGTGTTTCTCCAGGAGTAGTAACCTGACAGAGGAAAGAAACCCCATTAGGAAAAAGACTCCATGTTATGTTTATGTTTAAATTACCTTCACTAGGATTTTCTCAGTAAAAAAAATAAAATAATTAAATATATACATATATATATGACTTGGTTGATTAATTAATCAGCATATCATGCAATTAATTCTATTGCAAATTTAAATCAATTGACAGTCCTAAAAAATACTTAATACTATCAGTAGCCACATTTATACACAAAAAGTACAGTAAAAACAATATTGTGAAATATAAAAATTTTAAATAACTGTTTTCAGTCAATAGATATTTAAAATAAAATTTATTCCTGCGATGCAAAGCTGAATTTCCAGCATCTTTACTCCAGATTTTAAGTGTCATATGATCCTTCAGAAATCATACTAATATGCTGATTTGCAACTTAAGAAACATTTCTTATTATCAATGTTCAAAACAGTTACGCTGATTAATATTTTTGTGGAAAATGATTAATAGAAAGTTCAAAAGAACAGCTTTTATTTGAATAACATTATCACATTATAAATGTCTTTACTGTAGCCTTTGATTAATTTAATGTGTTCTTGACTGAATAAAAGAATTGATTGCTTTCAAAAAAATAATAATACAATTCTTAGTGGTCCCAAACATTTGAACAGTACATTCTCTGTTTGTGAATATTTTATCCGATACTCACAGGAAGCGTTTGTGTGGTTAGTTTGTGTCTGTACCTGGTGCAGTAGAGTACGCATAGAGGAAGTCCGCCTCCACAGGGATCCTCATAGATTTATCTGAGCTGTCAGTCTCCACACCAGGATCCAGTTCTGTACCTCTACAAGCCTAGATAAACATAGCCTTCATAAATCTCAAGAGTGAAAACAAGTACTCCAAGCCCGCTCATTACAAACCTCACACTCACATCTGTTCACTCTCTCTCTCTCTCACACACACACACACACACACACACACACACACACACACAAACACAAACACAAACACACACAAAAGAGAACTGCAGAAATCAGGGATGTACCTGTATGAAGAAAAGTTTAGGCTTTCCCACTAGTGATGGGCAGCGGTCTCCTCTGAACAGGCTAGTTAACTGTTTGAGCTCCACAGACGTATCAGTGCCGAAAAACACTCCCTCATCTCCATGACTGAGCATCACACACACTAATGAAGCACAGTGGCTGTGGTCGTCACGGGCAACTGCGATAAAACAACAAACAGCCACGAATAATTACAATGGTTAAAAAACAGAGTATAATTATCAATTACCATCAAATCTGGGTATAGACAACTGATTCAGTGTAATTTTGTAATATTTCAGTTGCAACGCCAACAGATCTGAGAGCTAAGAGACAGAATATAAGAATTTTTTTGAAGAATTTGTGCAGAGTTGAATACGCCATACCTGCTGTTAAAACCTGCTTAATCTGCACAACTGTCTGGTCATTGTAGACTTTCACAGTGTATCCGAGCTTTCGAAACACATTCATTACATTTCCTGCATCTACGTCAGTGCCATTGCGTTGGTTCATGCCTGAAAGAAGTGAAGAACAAATAACCATTGGCTATATTACACATGACTGAAAGTACAAAGCATGATTTTTTGTTTTGGTTATTTTAAAAATTATGTACATTTTCATATATATCTGTGTATATACTGAATATATAAATATAATATTCAGTGTTTCCCCTGCCATTATATTAGGGGGGCGGCCCTAATTCTGTCATTTCTGTCTCTACGTTACATGGTCGCGCTCTCTGTATCGCGCACAGCGAAGTTCTGCCCCGATGCGCACACACAAGTGAGCACACTCCAACTCCTACTAGTATTTGTAAATATTAAGCTGCAAAACGACTATTTAAATATGAATTCTGCGTGTTTCTGTGTTAATGAATGGCACAGACGCGCGGTTTTGTTTACTACTTGTACTGGAGCGCGCGTGACGCTTGCGGTGATATTAACGTCTGCCGTCTCACTAATGAAAACATCTCCAGAACTGCTCTGAGAGTCACTTCGTGAGCATTTTGCCATTTCATTTGCGTAAAACTATCCTCATCATATCACATAAACACAGGAATGTAAAGGTATTCACTGCAACCCGTCAAAATAAAAGTTCGGTTTTTTATGCGTTCAAATAAGTAGACATGTTAAAACACAGAATTTGGTAACAATAAAACATAAGGTTGGAAAAAATTAAACATTTCATAGGGCCCTAAGACAATGGTTTTTGATTAATTCAATTTAATTTAATCATTAACAAGGAGTCCAGAAAAATTAAAACGGAAAAAAACAACCCCAAGCCATAAACCTACGGGAAACACTGATATTTAGAAGAGTTATATAGCGTTATGCTGCTCAACTTCATTCACTGTAGCATTTATTACTATCGATTTTATTTATTTCGTTTAACACTCGTGTTGTGTTCTGGTCATTTTGACCCAGAGAGGATTTTCTTGCTCCCACAAATGCTAGTTAATGTTGTCACACTGTCTAAAACTTACTGACTCACATAGGGTATAATTATTTACCAAATATTTTTGACAGTCTTTGTACTTCCCCCCCCCCACCCTGTTACACTTATGGTGTTCCCAGTCAAAAATGACCATTCTACAAAAATGTTATCAATTTCTCATGCTACATAATTAACAAGTCTTAAATGCAATCTTTTTTTATCAACTGGTTTTCTGTCAGTTAGCACAGGTTTTGTATCCAACAAATAATGCTTTTTCAAAAACTGAGGTGCATATGATCAGATCAATGAGGTCTCCAACCCAGGGTTTCTGCAGACTTGAACAAGTTAAATTTAAGACTTTTTAAGACCTTTTTAATACCACCTTATATGAAATTTAAGACCTAAACCTGTAATGGAAATACACATTTTATTACATACATATATGTAATATTTAATGTGTATAAATTAAAAAGAAAACAAAATATCAATGCTGTAATAAATCAGCTTTTACATACTTAAATCTGCATATTTACATTTATGAATATACAAATAAGAAATGTTGAGGGGAAAAATGCATACTTTTCAACAAACTTCTCAACTTTTTTGTTAAATTAACAAAATCTCTGGTAAATAAAACACACCTTAGTATCGATATTTTCTATTTGAGTATCGATACTTTCGATACTCGCGTCAGTATCGATACGCCCATCCCTACTGTCCAATGATTGTAAACAGTCATTAGGTCCGTCAGACTTAAGATATTTTAGCGGTAATGAGACCAAAAATAATTAAGACCCATCGAATCCGAATTTAAGACATTTTAAGACTTTTTAAGGCCTTATATTAGGAAAACGTTATTTAAGACATTTTAAGACTTTTTAAGGACCCGCGGACACCCTGCCAACCAGTCAGTTCCAAAAAGAAATAAAAACCTGTGCAGGCACACCAAATTAGAAGACCAAATTAGGTGAAGGCTTTTCTGGCCACTGAACAATTATAGGCCATAACATCAAAATAAATAATCACCTTCATAGTTATCAGCAAGAATTTCAATATCGGTACATTCCTAATACATTAACTAAATCTGTTCACCGTTCTGTTCATAAGGTAAATGCATTTCAACAATCATCTGAGTTTGATGAGCATTCGAACTGACAACCTTCACAAAAACACCTTCAACAGCACAAAACAAGTGTTACCTGTGTTGGGATCAAAGTTCTTGTTGTTGATGATGATGCAGTGGCCAATGCTGGGGTAGTTCAGGCTGTATCTGAAGGCATGTGACTGAGTCTTAGCATCAACCTCAATGGACTGCAGTCCGGATGCCCCAACCACAGCAGCACTGGACAAACATTATTGAACTGTATTTAATATAATTAATGGGATTACACAGATTTGTGTGGGTTTGTTCTTTAGTTCCATTTATACTTTATTCATTTAGAACTGTAATGAAGAATCATAGACTAAACATATAAATAATTAAAATAATAAATGCTCATATAAATAATAAACGTTAAATTAAAACCCTTCACGGTAATAGACCTAAATGCTATAATAAACAAGCAGCAACATGGCAGTCTATATATTTAAACACCATAGTAACAAAAAGAAAAGAAAGTGTTAGTGAATTCAATACGGTCAATGACTTCCGAAAGCTGCACAGCAACAGTCGTCATGCTCATCTTACTCTGTTGTATCCTCGCGCCGTGCGTCCACGCAGTCTCCGTTCATCTCCAAACGTTTAAAGATCACTTTTAAGGATAAAAAAGGTTTCTTCTCCAGAGGAAGCTGGTGGAAGTGTAACTGGAGACGTATAACGCGTTATAACCGGCCCTCGGAGGCGGCAGAATGATCACTGCAGCCGCATGCCGGATGGATTTTCTTTGTTGTTTGTTGACTCACACGACCAGCCAATGAGAAGCTGCACGAGTTGAAAAAAAAATGCAGCGTAATATATCAATTTGCAAAGTCAAAACCAGCAAGATCTCTCTTACAGCTGTAGATAATTCACATAATGGCTTTGTGTCAAAACCTAGTGAGCTGTCTTCCTAGACAGCGTGTTCCAAACGTGCGAGTTCACAAAGCGCCCAACTGTAACGTTAAAGGTTTTAAGACAGTGGCTATCATTGTAATGAAGGTCAAGTTCCGCGTGCCCTGCCAATGCATGGCGAATATAATACATTTGAGAAATCTGAATGTCTATTTAATAAATTTGAAGTTGAATTACTCCGTTGCACAAGTGAATCCAAGAGTCCACCGTGTCTATTTAATACAAATATTAAAGCTATGCAGCCGTATATGCATGGCGTTTCTTTGTCTGCTTTTCAACGGATAACATGTAAAGATTGACTAAAACACAACGCCTAAAACTTAAATGTCAGAAAACAATAAAGTAGATGCTTACCAAAATCTTGAAAACATCCTGTTATTGGGAGCTTGTAATGTACAGGATTCCGACAACAAAGCGGTTGCTCAGCATCCAGGAAGTGTACTGTGCTCAGGCTACACCTGTTTCTACCTCGAAGCCTTTGCGCTTGGCTATTGCGCTACAATATCGCCATCTGCTGGATAGATGCTTCTTACACAAACATTCTGCCACTTGAACATGTTCAGGATCCTCTGCGCTAAGTCAGCTCAGTTACAGGCCTTTATCAGTTATGTGCTAAACAACCATATTCAATGTTTTCATTTTAAAAATATTAATATGTGGTTCAGAAAACATGTGCATACTCTGAAAATCTTCACTGTATATTTGTTTATAATAATATAAAATATGCTATAAAACACAACGCTGACTCTTTTCATTTTTATATATATATAAAAAATCCATATTTATAATATAAGTCTGTATCCATATTTATAATATAAAGTCTACACATTGAAGTTAGCTATTTTTGGCTGAAACTATGTTGTAGTGTTTTACACTTTATTTATTTTTTATATATACAAGGTGTTGTTCCATTGTTCATTTTATAGTATCCTTAGGCATCCTTTTCCAACACATTGTTTCTTTTGCAGAGGTAGCTGAATCATATCTTCATTGTCCTGTTGAAGGAACAGACATCATAATGAAATGGCAGGCAGGCAGGTTTAATAAGAGGTCCTTAGACAAAATCTAAATATTTACAAAGGATTTTAAATACAAAGGATTTTAAATAGAGATATTATCATTTTTTTAAAAATCTGAAAAGTGAAATGAAATGAGAGATGACCTACCAAAGCTTCAGTGCTCCATGGGCATGGCCACTTCAGGATGTGCTGGAAACTTGGAGAGTCTCTGGGGTCTTTTCTCACATGTTTTTTTTGTGCGGATGCTGAACCACATCTACATTGTCCTGTCGAAAAGAAAAACAGTAATAGTAAAGTGAAATTGAAAAGTAAAAATGTAATGTTAAAGTGAAAAGTAAAAATGAGAGACTTACCGAATATCCAGTGCTCCATGGGCACGGCCTCTTCCAAGTGGACCTGGTTGCTCTCTTTAGAGACACAGAGAGTCCTGGTGATCCCTTGAGGAACCTGGCAGGCATAGGTGCTTCCTCTGAGGATGCAGTTGCCACAGGTGCTCCCTCTTGGGATGAGGCAGGCACCAGTGATTTATCTGGGGACCTGGCAGGGACAGGTACTTCCTCAGGGGATGCAATGGGCACTGGTGCTTCCTCTTGGGTTAAGGCAGGCACTGTTGCTTTCTGTTGAGACGAGGTGGGCACAGGTCCTTCCTCTGGGGACAGGCACTGGTGCTTCCATTCAGGGGCTTGGCAGGCCTTGGTGGTCCCTTTGGGGGCTTTAGGAGCAAAGGTGTCAAGATGACATCCCTTTTTAGATAAAGTCTAATATTTTCAGGGATTTTCAGTTTTCCCCTCAGTTGATGCCTGGCATGCACAGGTGCTCCCTGTAGTGACCCATCAGCCACGAGTTTTTCCTCGAGGCGAATATCCAGTGCTCCATGGGCACGGCCTCTTCCAAGTGGACCTGGTTGCTCTCTTTAGAGACACAGAGAGTCCTGGTGATCCCTTGAGGAACCTGGCAGGCATAGGTGCTTCCTCTGAGGATGCAGTTGCCACAGGTGCTCCCTCTTGGGATGAGGCAGGCACCAGTGATTTATCTGGGGACCTGGCAGGGACAGGTACTTCCTCAGGGGATGCAATGGGCACTGGTGCTTCCTCTTGGGTTGAGGCAGGCATTGTTGCTTTCTTTTGAGACGAGGTGGGCACAGGTCCTTCCTCTGGGGACAGGCACTGGTGCTTCCTCTTGGGTTAAGGCAGGCACTGTTGCTTTCTGTTGAGACGAGGTGGGCACAGGTCCTTCCTCTGGGGACAGGCACTGGTGCTTCCATTCAGGGGTTTGGCAGGCCTTGGTGGTCCCTTTGGGGGCTTTAGGGGCAAAGGTGTCAAGATGACATCCCTTTTTAGATAAAGTCTAATATTTTCAGGGATTTTCAGTTTTTCCCTCAGTTGATGCCTGGCATGCACAGGTGCTCCCTGTAGTGACCCATCTGCCACGAGTTTTTCCTCGAGGGACGAGGCAGGCACAGGTGCTTCCTCTTGGGATGAGACGGGCACAGGTGCTTCTTTAGGGGACGAGGCAGACACAGGTGCTTCCTCTTGGGATGAGACAGGCACAGGTGCTTCTTTAGAGGACGAGGCAGACACAGGTGCTTTCTCTTGGGATGATGCAGGCACAGGTGCTTCTTTAGGGGACAAGGTGGGCACTGGTGCTTCCTCTTGAGACAAGGTGGGTGCTGGTGCTTCCTCTTGGGATGAGGCAGGCACGGGGGTTTCCACCTTGGAATTGGCATGCACGGGTGCTTCCTCTGGGGACATGGTGGGAACAAGTGCTTCCCCAGGGGATGAGGTATTCACTGGTGCACCTTTTGGAGTCTTGGCAGGCCCTGGTGGTCCCTTTGGGGGCCTTAGTGGCAAGGGTGTCAAGATGACTTCTCTTGTTAGATAAAGCCTCAATAATATCCCCTTTTTCAAATCAGGCCGTTCTCAACTTCTTGTCTGTGTGACGTCACACGGACGAAGGCCGCTCCCACGATAGTTGATTGACACTTTATAACTGATATAAATTGGAAAAAAGCTTGGCTTTTGCCCAGTAAGTTTTGTATATTTAACAAGGTTAAGGAAGTCCATTATAAAATCCTTCACAAAATCTATCCCGTTAACTCTTCCATTACTAAATATTCTGACATTGATGAGAATTGTTCATTTGTGGTCTTATAGAAGAAACAGCTGCCCATTTATTTTTTGATTGTAGCATTACTAACAAATTTTGGGTTGATTTAAGTTTTTATATTTTTGGCACTATGAATGAGGTGTACCATTTTGCCTTCAAAGATATTATTTGTTATTATGAAAACCCAAAACACGTTTCTTTTGAATATGTTGTTAATTTATTTATTTTGTATGCAAAATTCTTTATCCATAAGCAAAAATGGTGTAAGTCCTCTTTGTGTCTTACACTTTTCCTTGCTGAATTCAACTCTGTAATTTAATCTCTTAGATTGATAAATAACAAAAAAAGTGACATTTCTTTGTTTTATGATGATGTGTTTAAAGACACGTTAACTTTATTATGATGCTTTTCTCTTCATGTGAGCTTAAACCCAGGTTTATCTTGTTGTTGATGTAAGTGTAAGAATAAAAGTTGTCAAAGATTTTCCCTGATGTTTGTTTGGTTTGTGAAGGGCATGCGCCCCCGATCTACCTAAATGCGTTTATGTTCGCGCGAATCATTCGTCATCCAGCCTCACTTACAGCAGAAGTGAGTATAAGGTTTTTTTTATGAATCTTTGCAATCGCTGTTCCTAATAACATGCTAGTTAGCAAGTTTTGCGGCTAAATGCAGCTAAAGTAAACAGTCTCTCAGAGCACGGTTTGTCACTCCACAGAAGAGAGGGGCGGGTTCAGCAGAGCTCATTAGCATTTAAAGCAACATGCAAAAAAAGGGTTGATTTCTGCAGAGCTGTTTTTGACAAGGTAAAAAGGGTGTTTTTTTACACTACCATTGAGAAATTTTAACCAAAGTATGTTATACTCTTTTATAGACTATATGTTATAGTCACTTAAATATGAATTGTTAACAGTATTTGTAGGAAGTATTGCAGGGTCACAAGTTTCTTGCTAAATCAGTATCAATATTAAGAAAATATCATCTCTCTACAGCAGTTATACTGTAAGTTATGCTCAAAGTAGGCTTAATGCAGACTGTAGAGTATCATTGTATTGTCTTTACCAAGTTATTTATTCTCTGATATAGTGTATGATGGCTTTATAATAATCAACATTTACTAATAATTAACAATTTATTAACTGTCCCCTTGTCACTAATAAACTGTGGAGATCTGTTTAGATTCATGTAATGGGTGGTCTGATTCTCTTGCTAATGTTTAGGCATTTTACTTGTGGTAAATTATGTTTTTTTGGGAAATGTGCCTAGCCAATTTATGTGCGACTAACACACTTTATAGGATTTTGGCATGAGTATAGTACCGGTAGTTCAGCTTGGAGAATGTTTAAGCATCAAAGAAAAGGAAAAAAAAAACTGATTATTCTTGGATCAGTTATATCATAAATAGATACCTTTATAAGGAGCAACAATGACCTGTTTTTTTAAGGGTCCCTAAAGATCGTTCTGACTGTTTGTTTCCCTTGTTTCAGACAGTTGCCTTCACTTTCTGACAGGAATAATGCATCTAAACTGCTATCAACACAGCATGTACTGCTCTAATCACAGATCAACACATTCAAGCATTGATCTCCCTTTATAAAAGTGAAGTATTTCAAGTTGAATATCTTTATTGTTCTGCCTAAGTGTCTTTGTGTGTATGAAAAGTAAATAAACGCATGCAAGACGAACACCCATTTTAGAGAATAATTTATTGCCAGTAGTAAAGCAGTTAAGCTAGTGGCAGTATTTAATAAAAATCATGAAACAAGACCATAGCATTGCTCACACAAACGCAGACCCTGAAAAAGTCACATGTCTGTGAATAATCTCGCACTATAAATATATTGGGTCCCATTTTCATGGTCAAAAAATAAAGATGTTCCAAAGTCACAATTTACAAAGAACAAAAAAAAAGAAAAGAAAACATAACATAACACATCACAAGAATATGCAGACATCCTTTCAGAAATGAACATGTGTTGTGAAGATCACACATTCACATCCTTGACATTTTTTTATGTATTTTTAAAAATTATTTTCTTTGCTTGTGAATGGACATACAGTAAGGCTGATACACACCATTTGAGTTGGTATACTACTTTTTCCTGTCTTTCTTTTTTGAAAAAAAAAGCAAAAAATATCTACAAAAACCTAGTAAAACCTTGAAACCAAAACTGTACATTAAAATTTACATTACAAATGAATGAGGATTTGTATAAAAAAATCAGTTTGCATGGTTATATCTATACAAATACAGATATCACCTTGATGATTGAAATTATGCTTTTCTCCCAATATCCATGACAATATATCAGTTATATTTTGTGTAAATTGTACATCTCAGCATGATCGTATGCATGATGATCAACATATTATTTAATGGCACAGCCAAGTCTAATGTTCTCCCCAATACTGTTAAATAATAATAATAATATTAATAACTGCCCACAAGAGCTACTGGAGAGAACTCGTGTTTAAGCACGTCTTTTCAAAACCTCTCTTGAGGGAGATACAGATGTATACAATGTGTGCGTTTGGATGTTTGGCATTTACGTTAAGTGTAAGACTACGTTTGTGTACCGTGTATGTGGTGTGGTTATGGTTTGAACACACAATCAGTCTCCTGTAGCAGGGTTTCATTTAGGCACTTTTGATATTCTGGATCCAGTGTCAGACTTCAGTATGCTGCTGCTGTTGAGAGTCCAGCGGCGGTATGATGAGCCTCTGAAACTGCGTTCCCTCCTCCTCTCCGCCGCTCTCATAATCGCTCATCATCACTTCTGACTCCTCACAGCAGGCGGACATGTCCGAGCAGGACGCCGTGGACGTGTACAGCGAGAGCGACATGTTATCGGCAGCGGGGGGATCGAAGTCGCGGCCATAGCCCAGCGGGAAGCCTCCGTGCCGGTATCCTCCGGTGGAGGATGATGTGATGGTGCTGGTGGGGTTGGTCTGGGGTTCGGGGTCTGATGAGTAATGGTGGTGGGGTAGGAATTGGGTGAGGCTGTAGAGTTGGGGCAAGGGTGGGCGCTGGCGTACTCCAGATCCTCCGGGACTAGAGGGGGCGCTGTTTAGCGCTCGTGTGGTGGGCTGCAATGTGCCGTAGCGATCCCCGTACTCCGGCACGGGCGGAGGAGGGGGCAAGTCGTCGTGGGAAGTAAAGTCATCGGGTGGAGGAGGGAAGTCGCTTTCAATGTCGTATCCGCCGGGATAGTAGTCCGTGTCCAACAGGGCGGGGTCACTGTAAATGGTGGGTGGGGCCTCCACTACCTCATACTGAGGAAATTCCTGGATTCCAGGAAGCTGAACACTCGGCATCCAGTCAGATGTGTCCCAATGATAGCCTGTCGGACAAAAATAATAGTAAGCATCACAGTGACAGGCCGCAATACAAAAAACAAAAACAACAACAACAAAAAGATTAGATTAGGTTTTACACAAATAAGAAGGGCTGGGGTCAATATCAATTCAACTTCAGAGAGGTCAATTTTAGTTTTGAAAAAAAAAAAAGGCATTCATAACCCATTTTACTTAACATTAATGTAGTATAGAAATTAGAAGTTGAGCAGGAAATTATTGAAATGTTGGCAGCCATAATCCCTTCTTATAACGCTTCTGTCGTTATTTGCTATAATTGACATAACTTTTATTACACTAATGTTAACTAACATTATGAAGATTTTTTTATAATAACATGCACTAATGTATTATTGACAATAAAATAAAAAACGAATAAAATAAAATGCATTATTATCAATAATTGAATTCAATAAAAATGCAAATAAAATCGCTAATTGCTTTTTTTTTTTTTTTTTGCAAGCTGGGATAATGTGCAGGATTTTCTTGTTTCTATATTAAATAATAATAATAATAATAACTTAATATAACAAATACACTATAATGTTAATAATGTCGACTTGAAATTGACAGAAAATCTTCCAATGCAAATGTTTTTTGTCAAATGTTAATTTGTGTTTTGTTAAAATGTTAAAAATGTTTTCTGTGCACTAACTGAAGTTGAATTGACTTCAACCCTTCATGAACCACACAGTTAATACCAGCCAGGTCATTTAAAACCAGCATGCAATGTCAGTATCACACCAAAACAATGCAGATCATTCAGAGTGCACACAAATACACACACCACACATGTACAGTAACTCAGAATATGTCTATTGTTTGTAGATTTACAAAACAACCTTGACAAAATATGACAATTAGTCAATACTTTCAAAGATTAATTTGTAAACATTATATTATTAGGGCGGGTGTTTTAAGGTTACTATTATAGAGCAGTTTGAGGGAATTTCAGGGAGACCATGTTTTACTGGGACACCAAAAAACAAAAAAACGTTTTGTGACGAAAAGCTGTGACAAAAATTGCACAATATCCAATTATTTCTAACGCTACCAAAAGAAGTGAGTTTATTTCAGACTATTTTTGTCACAGATTTTGTGGACATGCAGAGTTTTGTTATATTGAAGGGGGTAACCAAGCCAAAATGAAATCAAATGGAAAGGCATCAGGCAAACTGTACAAAATAAAAATAAATCACCTCTTGGGTTCTTGTGTTCATGAGCCGAGAATGACTCTTTAGATAAAAAGCAAACAGAATTGCACAGAAAAGAGAGGAAGAGAAAATGTCAAATAATAGGAGACCGAAGAACACTCTGGAAAAAAAGAGTGCAGTACAAGGTGGATACAAATGTAAGAGCCATGAAGTTATGAGACGATCTTCATGCCATTTGCTTGCACAGAAACATTTCATATCACAGTATGGTGGGAAGGTGAAATCAGTCTTGGTAAGACTGCAATTTTCCATCTCAAATAAGCTGAACAATCATGTGCCACTGAAATCAAATGAGGCACCTGATTGGCTAATGATGCATTTGATAGGAGATGTGATCGGTCATTTTTAATTTCTTTGTCTTTCTAGATGTGATATGGGTGAAGAAAATGGCATTTTGGAGCCCTAATAATTACCCACCAAACACTAATGACACAGATACCCAATAATCAGCAATGAAGCAGCAAAAGAATACCTTCATTCTCCACCGAGTCAACAACAGCGCTGACAAGGTGGATTACTGTCACTAGGGAGGCTTGTAAGAAGGGCAGATAAGAGAAATCTAACATTAATTTTTCAAGTAAACATGACAGGAAAGAAACACTGGAAGTCAAGATTGCAAGGTAGAGAAGAAACAGACAAAAGCGTTTCTCACGATGAGACATTGCATTCTGACATCTGACAAAACTGATGGATTGTAACTGATTTACTGGCACCTTCAGAACAACAGATACTAACAGGTTTTATGGGATTTTGGCTTCTGACAAGGGTGTGATCTGAGGGATGGGTTAATGGCAGAGGGATTCAGTTGTGTCGGGAAGGCACACGTCTGGGTTGAGCTCTGGTGGAGGACGGTGGGAATGACGCTGACACTGTGCTCATGATTACACACATTAACAGAGAGATAGAAGGAAGGATCAGGAAAATTCTCAAAGATAAAAGAGAACAAAGACACTCTCTAGCCCCAAACCAAAACCAGCAGATGGAGAAAAATTAAAGAAGCAGAGGAATATGTGGGTACATGGCCATAAGGAAATATGGACAATCCATTTAATATAATGCATTAGTGTTCATCAGAGGTTCAGTGGGGGAGTTGATAGGGCAAGGTCAGGGGTTGAAAACGTCAAATGAGGGTCAAGAGTCAATGGTTAGATGACTGTAGTCCCTTACACATGACTTATGTCAGGGTGTGCAAAACGATATGTAAAAAATCATATAGCAGGTTCAGACATGATTGTTCAATGTCTGTCAGACATGATGTGCTCATGCATTCAAAAACAGTTGAATGAAGTGCAGCAATAGAATTTGAGACGATGTTTAAAAAGTTGACTTTTGGAGTTGGGCAGTTATTGTTTTTTTGATGTTTATAGTGGCGAAGCTTAAATAGCAAAAACTGTGAGATGTAACTTCTCTTGTTTTCACACAAACTGTTATCTACAGTACTACAACTTGTTTGAAATTATCCCCCTTCAAACCACTGCTACTTAAAAAAAAACAAAAAAAAAACTTCATTTAGGAAATGGCATCCTGCAGTAAAAATAAGAAACTTTAAAAAAAAATTTTTTTGTAATTGAAATGAAGCTTAAATAAAATAAAATTTAAAAATTATATGAAAAACTTGCCTTGGCAACTAACTGAAATAAGAACTAAAACGGAAATGAAATAAAAGAGATCCACAAAAGCACATAAAATTGCTAAAAGTTAAACTAAAATGAAACAAATATTTAAAATATGAATAAATAACATAAATAAAACTTAAATAAACACTGCCATCAGGGATCCCTAATTTCAATGCATTTCTCAACACAAGCATCATTTGGTGCTTTGATCGGCCAATATCTAACATGCATAATATAAGGATTATAGTGCGTGAGTGATGATATACACACCTTTGACTAGATTCACACTGGATCAGATTCTCTCTTATCTTGTTTTTATTTTTGCATAATAATGCTATCATCCTACAAACTGTGCAGTAACCATTTGCTTCAAAAGGTCAGCAGCAAATGGTTCAAAACTGAAACTGTTTGTAATTTAAGCACTGTTACAAGGTTTGACCTGACCGCAACAGCGCCGGGGGAATGCTATTGCTTGACAGTTTGTTCTCTTCAGTTCAACGCACTGGGGAACGCTGCCACAAGTCATGTGAAAGGGCCCTCAGATACAGTAATCAGGATCAACAGAAATGTTGTGCTGCGTGTGCAGGAGACCCATCATGTGTACTTTTCATACCCTGCTTTTACACTCTGAGCTGATGTCTTCAACCATCCATTGGCTTCATTAAGAGACACAAAGAAAGGAAGGGGGAAAAAAGAAGAGAAGAGATCCAAAATATGAATTTCACACAGAGAACTAATAAAGAGACTATATAGGTCATTTTCAGATGTTGGCTTGAACTGATGAAAAACTTATGAGAAGCTGCTCTCAGCAATGGCAAAAAAAAGACGAGGGGGCTTAGACGGAAGACATGCTTCCTTCTTTTTATGCATTGAGAATTTCACAGGGCCTTTAATGATCGCTTCCTTCTACCGTGGGCGAGTGTTCACTTACGAGCAGGCCTCTATTTAAAACCTTGCTCTGTGTCTGTGGTGAGATTTGATCCAAATGGGCGCTGAAGCCCCAGTGCAGCGATAAGGAAGAGAGAGAGAAACGACATAACACATGACCCAAAAACATAACACCCTTTACACTCGGTTACATCAGTAAAATAAAGACAGAGTTAGCAGATGTTCAGAAAAAAAAAACCTATGAAAACATGATAAACTATATAGGGGTCTGTCAACTGAAAAAGAGCATGCAAGACATTTAGACTATGTTTGGAATAGAATACTAGTACTGTTTCACACTATGTATACTGTGCAGTAGTATGTTAAATGAAAAGAAATAATATCAGATACTGTTTTTATCTATGAGATGATAACTGAACATCACTCAAACTTAAGTAAAAAGACAACTTAAAGAAAAAGACAGCTCTAGTGTCTTATGTTAACATCATTGACTGTAAAAAGTGCTATGAAAACAATTTAAACAACTTTATATTTTTAATAAGGTTAATATGAAATACATCTAAATATATTTCACGAGTTCACACTTACGTATAATCAGATTGAGCAAATAGTATGCATATTTGGTGTGCTGTCCGAGGGGAGGGCTCTGAGCTCGGAATTTAGCCCGAACCCAGAGAGCTCCCCATATCCCCAAGCTGGGGTAAGAATAGTTAGGAGTGAGGAGTTTAGGGTGGAGGTGGGATGCCGGAAAACTGTTGTGGGACAGAAGTTGGCTGTATCTGTATATATATATTTACTATTGTGCTAACTGAGTTGATTATCTGAACGTGCTGCTCCCGAACTTTAATAAAACATCATTTTATCGGTTTTGAATCTCCTTGGACCTATTTCAACGTCACAATGACAAATTTTGCAGTAAGTAGACAAGTTTGCAGGTGTGGCTAATACTGTCCACACTAATGCAGCACTACTGTTTGAATAGTTTTTTATCTATTTCTTTACAGATTTGTTTTTAAATTAATAGGCAGCATTTGTTGTATACTGTCACTATTTATCACAGTATGCAGTGCACTAGGTGGTTTTATTCCAAATATAGCCTTTTTTGGCTACTAAAGAAGCTGTATTCTTTCCATAATATTTTTTTTCAGTTGGTTTACAGAGAAACATACAGTATATATAATTCTGAAATCTGAAAAAAAGCATAAGAATGTCTGACAAGTATATCTGGCTGGTTACAATCTATGAGTCATTTATAAGATGAGTAAAAGCAAATGCATTCTGTTCCATATGTACCATTGTCGTCACATGACTCGGACTGGAAGGAGCTGAGAGAGTGGACCTCAGACATGCTGCCTCTGGTGTTGTAAGGGTGACAGGCACTGTCCTCCACCGGCTTCTTACCTAGACACGGGTCCAAGTCCACCACTTTAGCTGTGAGGAGAAGACAACAGTCACACAAACTTTCACTCACTCACTGAGCCCATTAAATAGACTGTCTTAGAAGTCACACGCAGGACACTTGGATTGCAGATGGGACTCCGTACGTACCATCGTAGTCATAATCCCAGCTGGGCTTCTGTATGGAGTCGCTATCAGACACTGAGTTGGAGGGTGGGGGAGGAGGCAGGTTAGGTGCTACACTACAGACAGCCACTGTCTTCCTGTGCCCGTGCACCGAATCAGGGTTGAACGTGCTGAATTCTGGGTGCTCTGGTATGGCCGAGCCCTCAAATGAGTTGCGGTCCAGATTGTTGCGGGAGTCGCTTGGAATGCTGGGAGTGTAGGAGATGGGCCGAACAGGGACCTGCGGTGGGATGTCAGAGTAGATGTTCTTGTTGAGTTTGGAGTCGAAGTACGGCCGCTGGAGGAAGGCGTGTGGGGCTCCTGTGCCTACGCCGAACTTGTCGTCATCGTCAGATTTGGATTTTGAGCGCCGGCAAATGCGCTTGCGAACCACAACGAACAGTAGGACGATAAGGAAGATGCTGGCAACGAAGACGACGATTCCGATTACTTCCTCCAGGCCGATGTTCCAAGAGGTGGAGATAAATTCGTTGCGGATTTCAGAACGGAGTTCACAGTGGCGCCCACTGTAGCCCGCAGAGCAGTTACAGTTGAAGGAGCCGTACGTGTTCTGGCAGTGACCACCATTGCCACAAGGGTTCTTCAGACACTCATCTACATCACTGAGGCACCTAAACTCACACACACACACACACACACACACAAACTGTACTGTAAATACACAGCTGCAGACTCAACCTACACTATCATTCAAAAGTTTGGAGAAAGAAGTCTCTTATGCTTGCCAAGGTTGCATTTACTTGGCCAAAAACAGAGTAGAAACAGTAATACTATGAACTATTATGACAATTTGAAATAACGGTTTTCTTTTTTAATATATTTTAAAATGTAATCTATTTAATTTACTGCAAAATTTTCAGCAGCCCACGACACCTCAGAAATCATTCTAACATCCAGATTTGGTGCTCAAGAAACTTTTTTAATAATTATCAATGTTGAAAACATTGCTGCCTAATATTTTTGAGGAAACTAATTCATTTTTTTCAGGATTTCTCAATGAATAGAAAGTTCAAAAGAACAGCATTTATTTGAAATGGAAATCTTTTATAAATGTCAGTATAATTACTGACACTTTTAATCAATTTAATGCATCACTGCTGAATAGAAATATTAATTTCTTTCATTTAAAAAAACTCTCATCTAGGTACATCTCAGTCGAAGTAGCATCTCATAAAGAAGCTCTTCATGATGCCCATTTGATATATTTGATTGAGTTTCACAGGTTTATTAGATGGGTCAAAAGATGTACCTGTCTCCTTGGAAACCTGGTTCACACTCACACACGGGACCATCCAGGCTATCAATGCACTTGCCGCTGTTCTTACACGGGTTATCTGTGCAGTATGGACCCAGCTGACACCTGATAGAAAATTACAAAGAGCCAAAATGTCATTCAGAAACTTCACAAACTTTAGATAAACTTTAAATAAGAAAAACTGTGTTTGGATAGTTTTTAATTGCAGTAGAAATTTCTCAAAGAGAAAATTGATTCTGTCTTACTGAATTAAATTTGATTATCAATCACATCATCTCCCAAAGCTTCTGATTAAATTTCCAATTGAATAGGAATTACTGAGAAAGCCGCATGGATTTCTGAAGTATTTTTCTTTAGTTTGAGTCAGATCATGCATATTAATGAAGTTTAATTAATGAAAATATTGACAGAGCTTACATTCTGATTTGGCTACATATCTGCACTATACTCAATGACATTAAAATGGAGAAAGAACAAATTAAATTAAATATCAAACTTTAAAAAATGTTCAGACAAACAGAGGAACAGGATGTAATGCTATGGGGTCAAAGAAAAAAAATCAATTTAATTAAAAGTATTAGGAACAAATGAGTCATTTAACATTTAAAATGAAAATGAATGAAAAGTAGACACATTTATCTGCTAACAGAGTCAGCAAAAAAGAAAGATAGCACAATCACATGTTTAGAGCAAACTATTTTTCTAAATTTAAAGCAAAGTATCTGAACAGCATACAGGTTGCTCAAGTGTCCGAATAATTTCTGTGGTCACATGCGCATGTGTTCTCACCGTTGCCCAGAGTACTGTCCTCTGCACTGGCAGTAGAAGTCTCCTCCTCGTGGGATACATGTGCCTCCATAGAGGCAGGGGTTAGAGGCACAGGGGCTGATTGTGACTTCACAGTGAGTGCCCATGAACGCAGCGGTGCACTTACAGAAATACCCTACAACACACAATAAAGCACAGCACATTAGTCAGTCCTATATTTGAATGAACTACAATTACACAAATAAAAAAAAAAACACCATGCATACCTCCATTAGGCAGTGATGAACATGTGCCTCCATTAGTGCAGGGGTTACTGGAGCAGCCCTGGACTGGAGGAGCCAAGCTGCATTCGGGAGCCGCCTCGACCAGCTCCTCCAGGACGGAGTGAACCCCTCGAACCTGAGACAGCGGCAGCTCCCTCCCATTAAACACAATCCCCTCCAGACAACCCCGCAGCCCATTTACCACAAGTCTTCCTGAGCCGGACGCCGGCCGTGCATGACCCCCAAAGTACATGCTGGTGTCCAGGTTGAGTGTGCGCAGAGTTCCCGGAGCAGTGCCAGACGCAGCGTGGACCTGATCTAGGACCAGTCTAGCGTAGTTGCCATCTACCTCGAGAGAGACAGTGTGCCACTCTCCATCACTGACCTGGGTACTGTGCACAGACACCACACCAGGACCACTGCCGCAGTCGAACTTGTACTGCAGGCGGCCGTTCACAATCTGAAACAAACACACACAGTCTTGTCTTTCATGCTGACCCTATATTAAAATGACAAACATCTGGAGTCAATTAAAATATTTAGCATTTCAAGTCGAATCCACATTCACTATTGACAGTCAAAATATTTTAAATAATTATTTATATATTGTTATTAAATTTCTTAAAAATAAACTGATAAATAATTCTTAAAATATAATTATATTTATAAAATAAAATAAATCAGCTTATGTGAACCTGTCCTTTTAAGTTGCATGTTGTATGTATAAATATATAAATCTCTCAAAACCTAGTAAGTCACCTAAATGGACAAACCAAGGCAAATGCAATGTTTTTGGGCATGATGTGCAAGTTTTGTTTTGCACATTTTTGGGCATCACAGGCATATTCTGTGTCAGCATCTTTTTTTGGACTGAAAACAAGCTTATGATGGCCAAAAATGTGTGCCTATAAAAGTTATTGTCTAAGTAGGCAGTTTATTAGTTATTTTTAAACAGCCAAAAAGATGACTCTGTGAAGTATTTCAGGTGTGATATTGTAGTATTCCGGCAGTTAAATTGTTTCAACAGATGAAATGAGGAATTATTCTTCAGGGATAAGCAGAATCAGATTATTATTATAATGCAACAGCAGGGAGATGACACTGCTTGCATTTCAGTCCCAGACTCCTTTGCTCTTTCTGTCAGTTGTGTGGTTTTCCCTCACCAAATTGGAATGCGTGAGAAAGAGCTCCCCTCTCTTCTCCCGGCTCCAGAATAACTCCTTTTCTGTTTTCTCTTCTTTTTTGTTTTGGAAGGACTGAAGGGGTTAAGAGCACACACTCACCTCCAGTATGCTGTAGTCTGTGCCTTTGGCGTACATGACAGTGGCGTGGGTGGAGAACGTTCTCAGTCTGAGGGACAGCTTCATTTCTTCCTTATTCTCATTCTCCATTAGCCTGTACCGTGCATATCCATTTCCGCTGAATGTTAAGGACTGACGCTCTACAACACAGAGAGCAAACCAAAACAAATTATAAGTGATGCTATCATAATGTCCACAGCCAACAATATGTTTTTAATGCAGCAATACTAAATGTCCACTTCATGCACAAAATGTTACTGCTTGAAACGCTGCAAAACACAAACCATTCATAATTTAGCATGCAATGACATCATCAGTTCGATTTGAAACCGCTAACAAGGAAATCAGTGTGGTTGAAACGTCATCCTGGGTGGTTTCTTATTGGCTTACTGGGTTATTATTGTGAACTAAAACTAAAACCATAATAAAACATTTTCATTACTTAAAATAAAATAATAATAATAAATAATCATTAACTGAAATAAAATATAATATTCTCTCTCTCTCTCTCTATATATATACACACACACACACACACACACACACACACATATATTTCAGCTAGTCGCAAAGGAAACATTTCTCATTTTCGTATAGTTTTAGTTGAAGTACTAAAACAAAAAAACTGTAAATATGACAAATATGGTTATTTACTATTTTATAATAGTAATTATTATAGGTAATTTACTATATTTTTTGTCCATAGCACAAAAACAGCAGGATGAGTTATGTAAATTGTGCCTTCAATATGGTGCTTCAATAAAGTGTGAGTTGCACTAAGCTGTGTGACAACACATAGATGTGTGTTCATACCTGAGCACTCTTCCTGTTTTCCCTCAGGACAGATGCATTTGAATTTGGTGTGTATGGGGTCTTCTACACACTCCATGCCATCAGGACAGGGGCTTGCCTCACAGAGTTTACTCAGGACAGGACACTCAGCTCCTATAATCACACATAAATGGTTAACATCACTCTAGACTGAAAGTGAAATATATGGAATATTCTGTGGTTGTATATTCGTGTTACCTTCACAGAGACATTTGGATGTGCGCATGTGACGTGGCGTAACAAAACTAATCCTAGCCGTGCTGTAGGTCGACACTGCTCCCGTCTCCAAGGAAACCGTCTCTTGGCAGTAACTAAGAGGACAGTCCAAACCGGCACAGAGTTTCTTCACAACTCGTACAATACGGACTCCAGTCATCTCTTCGATTACCCCAACTGAGGCATTCAGCTTCCTGTACACCACTTCCTGGGGCTGGAATGGACTTCCTGACCTTTCTAGAGCTAGAAGTACTTCCAGGTCACCGGAGGCATCAGCAGCAGGTTGCAAGCTGACTAACTGCACGTCTCCGCGTCTGACACCGGCGATATTCCGCAAAGCCCGCAAAAAGTTACGCCAATAATCTCCGATAAACTCCTCCGGCGCTATTGCAGAGAAACGCACAGCGATGGAGTTATCGAGCGCTTGTGCTGTTGCCTGCCGTACGTGAATATTGACTCGGGCAGCAGCAGTAAAGCGACCATCTGTCACTGTAATGTTAAGGACGTATTGACCAGCATCCAGATTCCCACGGGCCACGAGTTTCCCATCAGCGGGGGAGACAGAGAAGAGGCCAGAGTTTTCAGAGGTGGAGGAACTATCGGGTGCGAGGCTGTAGGTTAGAGTGTCATAAACATCCTGATCGGTGGCGTGGATTTTACCCAGGACCCCACCTGAATATTCATCTGTTGCTGTGGTGATAAAGATGTCCAGGGGAAGAATGACAGGAGGGTAGATGCTCTCCTCGATCAAACGTACACTCACAAACGCCGTGGAGACCAATGGTGGGCGACCGCTGTCCGTTACCTAGGACAAAGGAGTCATGAGATTTAGGATTCAGAATTGCAACAATTAGAAATCATTAGTTTCATACTTAGGCTTCAAGGTTTAATATTTGGGGTTTGGGCGTCAAATCCCCAATGTTAATTTTAAACAATAGTAATACTGATGTTTGTCTTAGAAAGCACTAGTATTTACAGAAGGAAGAATTTGAGAAAGGAGTCTAATTTCAAAACACAACTGTTTTCATACCTCTTATGCTATATCTCACTTTACAGCTCAGAACAGCAAGTATCATAAATGTTGTTAACTAAAACAATACACTATTAGTCATATAACATATGCTGCCAAATTATCAAGTCAGCTGTTTGAAGTGTAATTGAGTATTAGGGCAGAACGTCTTTGCACATGTATGGAGAGACTGATGATAAGTGCCAGTCACAGTCAGTAGAGGGAGCACTTGAGCCTGGATTTACTCTTGTAGCAATGGACAACTGCACAAGTTTGAGGCTGGCTCATGTCCTTCCTCTTTTACCAATTACTTTGCCTCCCATTTCACTATCCCTATTGATTTCCCGGAGTTATTTTATAAAAAAGGTGTCATTTGTAGCTCTAATAAAAACACACAGAAAAGTTTAGCAGTGAATAGCCTATGCCATTTTTTTCTAAATACATCAATAAGAAATTAGTAACTACAAAATTAATTTATTTAAAAAAGTTTTTTTAGTTTTTTTAATTGATGAAAACTCAGTATATGGAAATAAAAGAACATGCATTTAGAGAATCACCTTATCAAAATGGAAAAGGGACCCATAGAATGACCTCCTACTGAACAAAGGAAACGGTACACCTAAAAGAAGAGGAGACTGGGAAAGAGACTGCTGTAATCATTTTCTTACAGGTCCTCTCCTCTGCTAAGGTTTTCATGGCTGCTCCTTCATACTCTATTGCACATGCCAGGCCCATGTGGGGAATACTGAACAAGCAACGCTTCAACTCAGCTCTACAGATAATCTATCCCTTCATACCTCCAGTGAAAACGGAACAAGACTCCTATAGCTTCAGTGAGAGCTGGAGAATCAGAGGGAGAGATTGAGGTCTCACCTGGGCCTGTAGGAGGTAGAACTCTTGAGTCTGGCGGCTCAGAGTTGCCGCGGAGACCAGCACGCCCTGAGGAGTGATTTGGAAGGCTTCGCCCTCGTTCCCACTGATGATAGAAAATGTGAAAGGAGGTCCATTGTGGGAGGCATCACGGTCAGACACGGTCAGCTGGAGAACACTGGTACCAACTGGTTGGTTCTCCTATACAACATATGCAGAACACGTTAAAGGTTTTATAATTTAGACCTACAACATTCACACTTTTTTTTTACATCTTAAGGCAAATTTGGCATGTAGCACATTTTACGACTTAAATTGAGAAGCTATGATTATATTTTAGTGCCAGCAAGCACAGGCATATCTGGTGACTAATAATGATTTTTCCTAAGAGCAATGTTTCAAAAGGCAAATGGAAACAGTTTTCGTAATGCATTTAACTTCCATAATGATGAATTTCAGCGTGAAACAAGATTCTGTCGGAAATAATGTAGGAAGTCATTACTTCCCCTTTTACTATTGATATCTATTGATATTTGTTTGCATCATGAAAAGTAGACTAATATTATTGCTTAATGTTGTTTTAAGTTGTTTTTGGTCAAGATAGTTGATTAGTAAGTTTATATAAATTTTTTTTTAACCTTTACAATTTTTTTTCATGTGTGACTTTTTACCAAATTCTGATTTTTTTTAAATACTGTTTAAGTGTTATTTTAGTATTATTTATATACTATTATGGTCTTTACTGCTATTTTGAATTAGCTTTTATTTTTAGATCTTCAGTTTTCACTTTACTTTAAGTTTTGCTAATTGTATGTGCTTTTTTTTGCTAATTTTATTTCAATTTTAATTTTTTAGTTTTTCAACTTGAACTAAAAAACTAAAGATTTTAAAGCTTAAGCGTTTCATTTTATTTCAGCTTTTTTCATTTCATTTTTAGTTTATCTATAACTAACAATAACAAGACTGCACTTTGTCAGTGTCATTAATATGAAGAATTCTGTTACTCTACACAGCTGTTTTTGAATGCAAAAAAAACGTTTTTTTTGTGTGTGTGAAATGCATCTGATTGGTGTCTAATGACCCTAAATTCCTTAGAATCAACAGGCATTGGAGAGAGATTATTGACAGTGAAAACAATGTATCATCTCCTCTGAGGACTCAGACCTGTATAATGATGCTGTAGTTGGCCTGAGAGAAGAGAGGTGGGTTATCGTTTATGTCCGAGACGTCTATGTTGACCGTAGCGCTGCTAGATCGAGCCGGGCTTCCATTGTCAGAGGCCAACACAGTCAGTGTGTAACCTGAAGTCTAAAAAACAAACAAAACAAAATGCCATAATTAGGTTTCAGCAACAGACTGCCAATGCACCTGCTACTGAGACACCTGAGTGTTTTGTACCTTCTCTCTGTCGAGCTGGCGGGCCACCTTGACCTCTCCTCTGATGGGGTCGATGGTGAAAGGACTGCCTTGATTGCCATCAATGATGGAGAAGCGCACCTGATTACTGGATGGACCATCTGCATCGTCAGCCATGACCTTCACACACGGAGAAACACACACCTGGTTAATATAAAGATTGCCACGGACTCAGGTATGCAACACCCCCGCCTTTCGTCCTTCTTGCCTCGCGAGTCAGTAACTATTGGCTGAGACCCTCGAGGGAAATCAGAAGGCATGCAAGTGAAACAGAGCTGGGTATCAAAGCCTCACTTTCACACTGACAATTTATATTCAGCATGATAAGACTTGAACATCTCTACTAAATGACCAGAGTGAGAGCGAGATAGAAGACTGCAGATAACAGATTGGTGTGGGTCGCTGAGCTTTAGTTTGACATTGGACTGTGTTTGTTTAGTATGTGTGTTCTTTGCTCTGTTTTGATTTTAGGAGATGATGTAACCCAGAGACCTGAGCAGGGCACAATAAAATCAGAAGTGCTTCAGAAAGAGAAGCCGATGACTCACAGCGAGCACGATCTTTCCCAGTTCTGCGTCTTCGCTGACCACAGCAGAGTAAATATCTTGGCTGAAGACGGGGCTGTTGTCGTTTACATCCGTCAGGTTGATGTTCACTGTGGCCATGTCACTGAGTGACGGCGTGCCTCCATCTGTAGCCTCCACTGTTAGATAATACTCATGTGCTGTTTCGTAGTCCAAAGGCTCGATCACGAAGACACCACCTGGGAAGAAAAGGACAATGAAAACCTCTCTAAATAATGAAATATTTATTTTCCAAATAATTAAGTAAATATTTGGATGAACAGATAAATAAATTAATGAATGAATGAATGTATACAGTGTTATAAAATGAGACAAATAATCCAAAGCCAGGCCATGAAGTGTCTAATATGAATCCATCAGAAGTCAACTTGAAATTTAACTGGAAGTCAGTGCTGCAGGGATCTCAAGAGGTTCATCTAAGCTGCTGTGTTTACCTGTATGGGGGTCGACGCGGAACGCTCCTCTCTCGTTTCCATTGATAATGGCGTATGTAATCCCTGCTCCTGCTTCTGTGTCTCGGCTGGCTGCGTGCACCCGTAACACCTGGGTGCCCACCGGAATGTCTTCAGAGACGGTGGAAGTGTACTCGCGTCGCTCAAACACTGGAGGGTTGTCGTTGATGTCCAAGATGGAAACACTGACAGTGGTGAGGGAAGAGAGACGCCGCGGGGACCCACGGTCTGTGGCAAAGGCGCGGAGGGTGTAGAGTGACTGGAGTTCACGGTCCAGAGGACGATCCAGATGCACGATGCCAGTTTCCTCATCGATGGAGAACACACCATCAGCAGAGTCCAGCAGTGAATAGAGGATCTCTGCATTAGAACCTAAACACACACACAAAGCACCATGAGATTAATAAAGACATTTAAGATGTTTATAAGTGTACAAATTTATGGTCAATCCATTCCTGAAAATCTCACTGCCCCCAATTTTCTGAACAGTAGTGCAATTATACAGTAACATTGGCTCTACCAATAATATTTTGTCAATTATTCCTTCATTTAATGCACAACTGAAACTCTTTAAAACAATTTTGACCAGCTGTTGCTGTCGTTGTCATACTACAAAAGGACAACCAATTCATAATGATTGACATGAAATCAATACATTTTGCAGATTAAGAAGCTTTCAAATCAATGGCAAAGCCTCCAGCAGTTAAAATTATTTTTTCTTCGTCTCATTTGCTTAACTATAATGACTTATAAATTCATCCAACAAAAGATTCAGTGGTGAAACCTCTGGTCCTGAGCTGCATATTAAGAAGTGTGAGTGAGTGCCACTTATTGTATTGGGGAAAGCACACACACACACACACACACACACACACACACACACAAACAAACAAACAAGATGAAGATAGAGTACACTAATCCCTCTAATGCATTTTTTGAGTAAGCCTCATTTGTGGCTTGCTAGTACAATCCTATCTATCAAGACACACTCTCTCATTATAGCCAGTTAACACAATCTCTTGTGTTCTACAAAGTTTCAGTCAGACCAAATTACTGGAGTGCAGCTGCTTTATGACAGTTCAGTATTGTGCAAGTCTACTGATCGCTGAATAAACACCTTCTTATGATTATTTCAAGTCTATTGGTGCAGCTATTGTAAGCTAATCCCATAGACCTCCATTGAAAGTGCTTTGTAAGTGCAAGTAAAAGCATGTCATAGGTGCCGTTCATAGAATTAACTAGTATTTTACCACATCAGGGACCTTCAAAAAAGCAACCAATGATCTGAAGGTTGTGGCATTGATGCTGAGAAATGAGGGAAGAAGAGATTGCTTGTGTTTAGGCCAGACGTAAGTGAAACAGGGTCTGGAATGTACACAGAGCACACAATGTGTCTATTTGAGGATATAGAGTACAGAACAAAAGGACGATAAGAGAGGAATCCATGCAAATGGAAATCAGAGAAATTGAGTGGAAGCGAGTGAGAGAGAGAGAGAGAAAGACAGAGAGGTTTGTGTTCTTCTAGATTAAAGGTGCTGCCCTGTTTGACTGAGAACGTCATATGTGCGTGTTGGTTTCCTCTCAAGATTTTTTTTTTAATTTGTCACATACATGGTTATATAGAGAATATATGACCAGCAGTGAAATGTAAGTAGTAATAAAGTAAAGTAATAAAATGACATGATGACAATGAAATGAATATATTGGGAAACACACTTATTTGCAAACACAATTTCTATTTTAATATATTTTTAAATCAATATATCTTTGTTCTGGATACTGGGGATCTTACCCGTGTCCAGGTCTGAGGCATACAGGCGAGCCACAGGTGTGTTTATCTCTGTGTTTTCAAACACAGTGAAGGTGTAGGGGTCAGAGGTGAATTGCGGAGCGTTGTCGTTGACATCTTCGACTGTGATTTCAACTTCTGCTTCACAAAAGCGTCCGCCTCCATCCAGAGCGTGCACCTTCATCTTGTGAACCTCCTCTTCTTCACGGTCCAGAGGGAGCAGTGTTTTCAATTCACCTGATGAAATCAAGAAATCAATCAATAATGAGTGTTCAAATCAATAAGACTTTCGTTCATCTTTGATGATGCAAATAAAGATATTTTTAATGAAACCAGAGAGATTTCGGATTTAATTTCGGATTTACCATATTTAATGTGATGTGCATTAATCAATGTTTATATCTAAATAAAATCCTTAATGAAATCTTTTCATCACAGTGTTTACAAGGTCTTTATGAACATTTTGAAGCGTCAAAAGTTTTGGTTGCATGGACTTTCAATGGATGGACTGAAATTTCTCAGGTTCCATTAAAAATATCTGTAAAAACTGGCTTGGAGCAACATGAGAGTGAGTAAATGATCACAGAACTTTCATTTTGGGGTGAACACATTTTGTGAATTTGTGTAAACTCTAGTTTTGTAGGCACCCTGATGCTGCTTCCACACACACAAACAGTTCTGCTCTCTCATTCTTCATGTCTGCAAAGCTGCTTTGTATATTTATTATAGTTGTGGCTTGCTAAAACCCCCAAAATTTACTCCCCATCAATCATTTTGAACATCAGCTGGCACTGCACTAATGAACAAGACAAAATCCAATTCCACTTCAAGCTTATCTCATCTGTCAAGTCAAGAGGACACTCTAAAAACGCCAGCAAGGGAGACAGTTGTCTCTTTCATGAGGAAATTATCTGACCTAATAATTTCAGCAAGCATAAGCTAAGTTCCATTGAAGTGGTCACTGATTTAAAACTGCCTTTTTGTGTTCCAGCTGTTTGCTGTCGACCCTTGAGCTGGAGTGCATCTCAAGGAGGATGAATGCAGGGTGTCCAAAAGTTCCCCCTCGAGGAAAGCTAAAATCATCCTTGCACTGAGAGGCTTTAAGAAATAGAAAAGATTAAAGAGGAGAGGGATGGTGAGAAATGAGAGAAATAGCAAGGGAGAAGAAAGTGCAGTCAGCATGTAGGCTGCTTGGAGAGTGAGCTGAGAAAAGAAGCAAAGGGAAAGTCACCCTCGGAACAGCAGTCGCCAGCTTTCAGGGGTCTGGTTGGCTCGCATGAGAGCACACTTGGCATTGCTAACTTGCAATAATGCTCCTCTTCTTTTTCTCGATGGAACGGAGGGGAAAAAAAGTGAAGAAAATTCTCTGTGCACACTAAACCCACACAGAAGAACAGTAGCGCTCCTTCAGTTTGCGAGCCAGCATTCCCTGCCTTCACACTCAGCTTTATCAAAGAGCCAGTGAGTAGCGCCTTTACAAAAGCATTTGTGTTGTAGCAGTGTGACGCTGTCACAAACCCACTGTTGATTTCTGCTCTCTTTCCGCCTGGAACCGATGTTTAATTCACACAGTTGAGAGACAGTTGATTTGAGTTAATAGCTGAAGTGGGGCAACACTTGAAATGTTTTATAAAAATATTTGGTGTGATCGTTTTTGTGTGAATAACACAGACAAGTAAAAAAAATTAAAAGAACAATACTGGGAACAGATTTCCATGGTATTCACTGTAAAACAGTCATGAAAGCCTAAGGGTGTACATCCTTCCCTGGAATTAAACAAGTAATTAAATTCGAATTAATTATGGTTTTAAATAGGATGTGTGTTTGACTGTAGGCAAAAGCAAATTATGTTGTAAATGTTCAGTGTGTATGTGGCATTTATTTGTCTGGCTGTTGAGACAATGATTCTTAGACTGTTCAGATGTTTGGGGTCCGTAAGATTTTTTTAAATGTTTTAGAAATAAGTCTCTTATGCTCATCAAGGTTGCATTTATTTGATCAAAAATATAGTAAAAATAGTATTATTAATGTGAATAAAGTGAAATAGTTTAATGAAGGAATAATAAATAGTAATGGTACTATTAATAAAAATAGTAATAGTAAAGGGAAATATTAACAAATTTAAAATAACCTTTTTCCATTTTAATATATTTTAAAATGTACTTTATTCCTGTGATGGCAAAACTGAATTTTCAATAGCCATTACTCTAGCCTTCGGTGTCACATCATTTTAATATGCTGATTTGGTGCTCAAGAAACATTTCATATCATTATGAATGCTTAATATTTTGTAGAAACAGTGACACATTTTCTTTCAGGATTCTTTAATGAATATAAAATTCAAAAGAACAGCATTTATTTGAAGTAGAAATTTACTGTAACATTCTAATTGTTGTTACTGTCACTTTTGATCAATTTAATGCTTCCTTGCTAAATAACAGCATTAATTTCTTTACAAATATTTTACTAAGTGCAAACTTTTGAACAGTGTGTGTGTGTGTGTGTGTGTGTACATCCTTCCCTGGAATTAAACAAGTAATTAAATTCGAATTAATTATGGTTTTAAATAGGATGTGTGTTTGACTGTAGGCAAAAGCAAATTATGTTGTAAATGTTCAGTGTGTATGTGGCATTTATTTGTCTGGCTGTTGAGACAATGATTCTTAGACTGTTCAGATGTTTGGGGTCCGTAAGATTTTTTTAAATGTTTTAGAAATAAGTCTCTTATGCTCATCAAGGTTGCATTTATTTGATCAAAAATATAGTAAAAATAGTATTATTAATGTGAATAAAGTGAAATAGTTTAATGAAGGAATAATAAATAGTAATGGTACTATTAATAAAAATAGTAATAGTAAAGGGAAATATTAACAAATTTAAAATAACCTTTTTCCATGTTAATATATTTTAAAATGTACTTTATTCCTGTGATGGCAAAACTGAATTTTCAATAGCCATACTCTAGCCTTCGGTGTCACATCATTTTAATATGCTGATTTGGTGCTCAAGAAACATTTCATATCATTATGAATGCTTAATATTTTGTAGAAACAGTGACACATTTTCTTTCAGGATTCTTTAATGAATATAAAATTCAAAAGAACAGCATTTATTTGAAGTAGAAATTTACTGTAACATTCTAATTGTTGTTACTGTCACTTTTGATCAATTTAATGCTTCCTTGCTAAATAACAGCATTAATTTCTTTACAAATATTTTACTAAGTGCAAACTTTTGAACAGTGTGTGTGTGTGTGTATATTTATGCACGCCATTTTACATAGTTCATTTGGCCTGTTTGACATGCACATCCAAATTGTGATGATTACCTGTCTCAGAGTCGATGCTAAAGTGCTCTGATCTGGGCCCTAGCAGCTCGTAGGAGATCTGTGCATTGGAACGGATGTCGGCATCTGTGGCGGAGACCTGCAGGATCAGTCTACCCGCAGGGGAGTCCTCCGGGACACTTTCCATATAGAATGACTGCAACAGAAAGGGAGACATGTGAAAAGCAGAAGTGACTTCACAAATGGGAGGATAAGGCCCAAAAAGTAAAGAGAAAGAGTTTGGACGTAATTGTGCAGCCAAACTGAACAGAGGGCTAAAATAGTTTCACTGCAGGAGTTCTATTAAATTAACATTATTCAAAAAGGAACACAATAAGTAAAAGAAGCACATTAGCCCTCACAAAACCCTCTCACAGTGCAAAATCACTCTCTTTGTTTCTTAAATGCTGCATTTCACATAAGGACCTTTTCAAATCCCTCCTGACATTCTCTCTTTCTCTCTAAGTCTCGTCCCATTTAACATGCACAGCGGGTAGGCAGCACCCTCCCCTTAACTGACAGAATCAGACTACATGACATTTTGCTGCAATGCACTTCCCACACACACATACACACAAAACTAACATTCATACCTTCTCACAAATTGGGCTGTTGTCATTGGCATCTAAGACCTTGACTTCAACCACAGCCTTGGCTGTGAAGGTCCCGTCAGTGGCCGTAATGTTCAGCAAGTAATTGTCCTTCTCCTCCCTGTCGAGAGGCTTCTGCACAGAGACCTTCCACTCGCCTTGAGTATGCTCAATGCCAAACTGTCCCAAGGGGTCTCCACCTTCATACAGCAAACATGAGAAATGTCAGTCAAACTAATGAATGTGAACAGCAGTTAAAATTATTATTTATTTGTGTGGTTTCATGCTGTATGTGTAGTAGCTATAGTAATGGCTCAATTTATAGCGGCTTAAATTTCACAAGTTATTGTGAGATATCTGTGCAATGAGTACTCCACAGCATTCATGAAGTTTCACTTCTTGTTTGCTTGGACTTCACAACATTAACACAAAGCGCCTGTGTAATTAAGTGGCAGTGTGACTTGTTATGCCAATTTCTGTCATCACTCTGTGATCAGGCAAAGACGAGTGAATGTAATGAGACCGTTTTCTCTGCCAGGAAGTGCCCATCTCATCTAACACTTGGCATCGTTGTTTCGCATTAATTAATTATGACCAGAGCTGAAACATTCCCGCTTTGTTTCAAAAGCGTCGTTGGGAAAATTATCCAGTTTTCTATTTATAATCTCTGATCTAAGTGATCAAAGTATTCTTTACACAGAAATCCTTCAGAACGCGACAATTTGATCATACATCAAAGGATATTTTGCTTTAGCTGTGAGTGGTTTCCCAAAGATTATTAATTGCTGGTACTATAAACTATTCCATCATAAATTAGTGAAGATAAACTATTGCTAAAATTTAACTAGAGGTACAAAATCAACATTAGACCTACCTGTGATAAAGTAGTTGATTTGCTTGTTATTGTCCTCTGTGTCCAGGTCTGCAGTGCTAAGAATGGCTATGACTCCTCCAGGTGGGTCATCTTCGCTTACTGTGCCCTTATAGATCTCTGCTGTGAACCTTGGTGGGTTGTCATTCACATCTACCACTGTGACATCCACCTTAGTTTTGGCCATCAGCTGTACTTTGTCTCCACGGTCTGTGGCTAAGACTGAAACAGTGTACTTGCTTTTCTTCTCACGGTCAAGTTCCTTTAATGTGGTAATCCATCCCGTTTCACTGTTGATGGCAAACAATTCTGCAATGTCCCTTGTCTCTTGGTTGGAATCTAGATTGTAAATCATATGGCCATTAGTGCCAGAGTCCAGGTCAGTGGCCTTTACCTGTATAACAGAGGTGCCACCTGGAAGATTCTCTACAACGAAAGCTTCATAAGGGTTTGACTCAAAGAGCGGTGGATTATCATTGACGTCCTTGACCTGGATGCTAATGTCCACAGAGGAGATGACTTTGTTACCATCATATTCGCTTTGTGCTTGTAGGGTTAGCAGATACCATTTGGTGCTCTCGTGGTCAAGCTTCTTCTCCAGCTTCAAAGATCCTGAGGTGGGGTCAACTACAAATACCTCATCTTGGTTGCTCTCAGGAGTATTCCCTTTCACCAGGCTGTAAAAGACTGGCTGATCACTTTCAGCCTGAATGACATCTATTTCTGAACCAAGAGGAAGATCTTCATCTATGGCAAACCTGTAGTGGGACTCTATGAACTTTGGCACTGGGACCTCAGGAGCAAGAATCCTGACATAGACTGGAACAACAGAGGACTTGATGGGATTTCCACCATCTTTTGCTCGTACAAGAAACATGTAGAGTTGGTTCTCCAATCCAATGAGGCTTTCCTTTGTTACAATGACACCACTAAACTGGTGGATTTCAAAATTCTCCTCAACATTGTCTGCGTCTCCTTCAATAGAATAGGTGAAGTCTGCATTACTACCTTCATCCATGTCGGACGCTGCAATCTTAAGTATGGTTGTTCCTCTTGGCATGTCGGAAGCAACATTAACTCTGTAATCAGCAGCTCTGAACTGCGGGGCATTATCATTGATATCCGTTAAGATCACATTTACAGTGCAGAAGCCAACTTTGCCACCGCCATCTTTAGCGATTAAAGAAATCGTAATCACTTTCTCCAGTGGATTCTCTCGGTCAAGACTCTCCAAAGTGAAGATCTCTCCATTTTCAGAAATTGAGAACTTGTCTTTAGCAATGTCATTGACTATATGATAGGTGAGTCTTCCATATGTACCTGAGTCCTCATCTGTCGCTTGAGCCTCAGCTACTAATGTTCCAACTGGTGAGTTCTCAAGAAGCTCAACCACATAATCCACCTGGTTGAAAGCAGGATTGTGAAAGTTAGCACTAATAACATTGACCTTCACAATAGCTGAACTTCTGAATACACCATCAGATACAGACACATTGATGTTGTAGAGAGACTCCATATGGGGTTTCCGGTGGTTTGATATGACTATAGCCCCAGTGTTTGGATCTATAGCAAAGTTTTGCCCTTCATTTCCTGACATAATTGAGAATTCAAGTTTACCACTATCTGAGTTGTCAGCATCGGAAGCCTGAACCTGGGTGACAAAGTGGCCACGGGGTGCCAGTTCACTGACCGTAGCTTCATAGACATTCCGTGAGAACACTGGAGTGTTGTCATTAAGGTCCGTTACATCAATTAACACCATGACCTCACTGGAAAGGGCAGGTACTCCACCATCAACTGCTCTAATCATCATCTTATGTGAGGGTTTTTCTTCATGGTCAAGCATCTGAGTTGTCCAGATTGTGCCTGTGTCACGATCGATGCTAAAGTAATCAGAGCTCTTGTCTTTACCTTCAGCAATCTGATAAAAGAGCACTTGGTTGTTACCGGTATCAGCATCTGTAGCTGAGACTTGTAATACGGATGTCCCGATCACTGAGGCTTCTGAAAGACTTGCATTGTACAATTTGGTATGGAACACAGGTGGGTTATCATTAACATCTTCCAAGATTATGTCAACAAAGACTTCAGCTTTGGCACCGGTTAGCGAGTCGGTGGCCCTTACGCTGAGTTTATAGGCTGGGTGGGTTTCAAAATCCAAAGGCTTTACAACCTGAATGACGCCAGTATTGAAGTTGATGGAGAACTGATTGAGAGGGTCCCCTTCTGTGATTGTGTACACTACTCTAGGGCCTTCAGAGTCATTAGCCTGAATGTGTACAACAGGCGTTAGTAACGGTATGTTCTCTGGGATCTCCAGACTGTAGAAGGCTTTCTCAAACACAGGCATTGCTTTGTTTACAACCATTATTGGCACTTCAACAGATGAGGAAAGTGTTGGTTCACCTCCATCTCTGGCTACAACGGTGATTTTAAATTCAGTGTTAAGGGAGTCCTTCTCAAGCTTCTTTGTTAGTGAGATTTCACCATCCATGCTGATCTTAACAAACTCATTTAGCTCCTGAAGATGGTAGCTGATCTCAGCATTTCTGTCTATATCTGCATCAACCGCAGTCACTTTTGTGATGATGTGACCCACCTCAGTGTCAACCAGCACCAGTGCCTGATAGGGTAAATTGACAAACACAGGTGGGTTATCATTGACATCCTCGATTATCACAGTCACAAGGACATGGGCTACATCAGATGACTTGTCTTCTCTGGTCACCTCCACCACAATATCAAATACGGCTTGCTCTTCTCGATCAAAGGGTGTGCCTGTAGAGGAGAGTACTCCCGAAGTACGGCTTATTGTGAATCTCTTATCAGGGTTCAGAATTGTATAAAACAAAGGTTCATTGACTTGGCTTCCCACTGCAGCAATTACAGCTAAAGTCTTCTTCTCTAAGGACTTTTCTGGTACAAAGGCCTTGTATGATTCTTGGGTGAACCTCAGAGTACTCTCCTTATTCTCTCTGACATTTATTTTTACCAACGCTGTTTTAGAAAACCTGCCATCAGACACCCTTACTCTGAGCTCATACCTGCTTCTAAGCTGAGTGACATTTTGAATAGTGATAACCCCTGTGACCGGGTCCATTTTAAACTTCTCTCCAATATTGCCTTCGACAGTAGAGTAAAACAGCCTTGAGTTTGGACCTGAGTCTGCATCTGTGGCATTGACCGTGATCACTTCCACTCCTTTGTAAGTTGGCACTAAGACTGTGGTTTCATATAGACCTTGGCTGAACTGAGGCGGGCAGTCATTGACGTCCAGGATCTCAATAGTCACGTTAGCAGCCTTCTCTGCAAAATGACGGGGGATTCCCATGTCATGGACTTGAACAGAAAAGCGAAACACAGATCTTTGCTCATAATCCAATTCGCTGATGGTTCTGATTGCACCAGTGCTAGAGTCGATGACAAAGTAATTATGGGCAAATGGCTCAACAATCTGATAGACCAGCCTAGAGTTAGCATCACGGTCAGTGTCTAAAGCACGGATGACAAGTGGTGTGTTGTCTTTGGTGAGGACTACACTGTTGACTGGAGAAGACTCGCTGACCATTCCAGTGAACTCATCTTGAATAAATACAGGTGCATTATCATTCTCATCCTTCAAGTGAATCAGCAGAGTAGTGTTACTAGCCAGACCAGCCATGTTGGTTCCCTGAATGGTTAGTTTGTATGATGGAATAATCTCGTAATCCAGAACCGAATGGGTCACAACGACTCCAGAGTTGGGGTTGATGTCAAACGCTCCATTCACATTTCCATCTTTAATCTGATAGAACACTGATGATCGGCTGTTGGCGGTAACCAGACTAACAAAGGCTCCAGGCAGAGCGGTTTCGCTGACTTCAGCAGAAAACTCCTTCCCTGCAAATTTAGGGATGGCATTGTCGGAAATAGTGACAGTTATGTCAACAGAAGCAGTAGCACTAAGTTGTGGTGTGCCTTTGTCAGAAGCTTTCACAGTTAGCTCAAATCGGTTCTTGTTGCTACGGTCCAGCTCCTTTGCCACAGTGATGGTGCCCAGGATAGGATCAATAGCAAATGAATTGCCCACGTTTCCTAGGAAGGAATATGACAAAGATGCATCAAACACTTGCTAAAAGGTTTAGATTTTACTTTTCAGAACTCTTTAGAACTCGTTGATTTAAGCATTTGGTGTCAAACTGCTTTAAAGACTAAATAAAAAGAATAAAGAATAAAATGGATGCACTGATTTAAAGTTAAAAATGACATAATTTTCTAAGTATAAATGTTTGTTTTGCTTTATCTATAATGAATATTTGAGTTTGTCAAGGAAAGGAACCATCTGTATTTCCTTAGACAAATCAGCTGCCTGTGCGTCAGTCATTCAGTATGTGATCTGAACATTGTTTGCTGTCTCATGCACACAAATGCACACACGCACAGTACATTTCAATTAGCTTCTGTAATCTCAGACATTACAAATATGTGCATTCTCAAAAGGCCACTTGGCGTCATATCTGTGTTATGCTTTGCTTTCAAAACGCTCACAGTTCGGTGGACTGAAGGACCCTTGGTTGCCACATTCAATATCTCCTACATTTTTTACTTTAAGTGGCCAGCATGGGCCGCTCCTGTGGATCTCCTAGCAATATCCCGTGTTAAAACAAAGAGGATATGATAGGCTTATAAACTTTAATAGAGCAAGTGAGGCAAAGCGAACGCACACCAGTAGAGGTGCAAGTTGAAGGAAAAAATTACCTAATTGAAAGAGAACAACTGCACACGTTTCGGCTAGTAGCCTTTGTCAAGGTCTTTGTCACCTTGACAAAGGCTATTAGCCAAAACGTTGGTTAATAAATAGCCTATGCTTAAGTGAGTGTGCAGTTGTTCTCTTTTTAATTAGGCTTATAAACTTTGTCTGTTTCTACTTACTTGCCTTTTCAATGTTCAGGCATTTCATACATAATATGTATACAATATGTAGTTTCCTGGACAAATTGGATAAAAGTCAAGAGCAATCAAATCAATAAGATGGATTACCTGACTCAATGCTATAGATGATCTCAGCATTCTGCCCTTTGTCTTTGTCAAGAGCAAAGACCTGAAGCACTGCAGAGCCAATTGCAGCAGACTCAAACACACGGCCCACATACGGTGAACCAGAGAACCAAGGTGCATTGTCATTGGTGTCCTGCACATTTACAATCACACGCACCAGGTTCCGCTTCACAGGAATGTCCTGATCTCGTACCTGCAGTGAGGAGAGGAGAGGAAAGGGCATATAAAAAAGCAATTCTCCAATAATTTCAACACTTTGATTACAAGCTTATGTGAAAAACATCAAACACTTTACATGCAAGTCCTTAGGCGATTCGCCTCCATGTCGACTGAATTAAAGGGAAAACAATCTGCCAGGATAGTTTACGGTGAAGGATGGCTGTCTGGCTAACATTTCTAAATCAGACAGAAAAATCAATTGGACAGATGATGCTGTAAATTAGGTAGCAGACCACATGATCTCACCATGACAGTTAGAGTATGTTGGTGCATGGTTTCGTGGTCTAGTTTCTCTGCAGTGTACAACACCCCGGTTCCAGGATTTAGTCTGAACTTGCGTAGACTGAATGGGTCAGTGCTGCTGAGGAGGGTGTAGGTTAGCTTGTTCTTCTCATCCTGGTCTGTAGCTGTAATCTGTAACACCTCTGTGTCAGGTGGGGTATCTTCAGGGACATTCACTTCATACTTAGACTTAGAGAACTGAGGACGATGATTGTTGGTGTCGATCACTTTAATAAGAATCTGTAAATACAAACAAAAAATAAACAATTTAGAAACTGTTAGGCTTTGTTTTTTCAGTGTGCCAATTTCTTGTAATGAAAAATTATAGCAAGCATGTGTCAGGTTAAATTTTAAGTATATTACTATAATCAATGATAACATTATTGGTATTCTATGATGAATGGTTTAAACCATAACATACACTAAGCAAGTAAAATATCTGGCTAACAGAGATCACTGTAAATGGGGTAAGAGAAACTAAGCGAGAGAATAACTGTGTTCTAAATGTATCAATGCTCTTAAAAGATCCATTAAAACACCCATATACAAATTCACCAAGGCATGTCAAAACTCTGGAACATAACTGCTAATTTAAGAAACAGAGAGGAAGATCAGCGAGACAGTTAGGGCAGGCCAGTCTAACAACCATCTAGTTGTTTAATGAGGTTGACTAGTGAGTTTATCTATATTTTGTTATTTTGTTTTAGTGCAAGTGATTTCCAAAAGGATGAATTAAAAACAAAACCTCACATCTCTGTGCCTGTCAGATCAGGTAAACCCTCTCAGGTAAGCTGAGTGTCTAAATTCATTCTCTTTAAAGCACCGCGGCCAAAGCCATCAAAGCACCGTTTTTGCAACAAATGAATCGCTTCCAACAATATTTCTACACAATTACTACTAGACTACAAATCACCTGCTGTGAGCAAGGTTATGCATAATCTGTAGGTCTCTGCTTGTTTGGGAGGACTATAATGGCTGTGTGCAAAGTTGAATGAAGTGTTATAGTTATCTGTTTAAAGGGGTCATATGATGCGATTTCATTTTTTCCTTTCTCTTTAGAGTGTTACAAGCTCTTGGTGCATAAAGAAGATCTGTAAAGTTGCAAAGACTAAAGTCTCAAATCCAAAGAGATATTCTTTATAAAAGACGGAATGAGTTTTGTTATGGAGATAAAGTTAAGCTCATGATTTTTGTTTTTGGGATAGGGACCCATTTGGACCCAATAATGGTGATGTGTGACATCACATTTAACAAACAAATTCAGTCTATTTGCTGAATATCTGTCAGTTACCACATTAAATATAATGCTGTGCTGTCTGATCAACATGATTCACCAGCCTAATTAAATATCACTTCTTTAAGACAGATTAGTCAATTACTAGTTGTTCAGACTACACACAGACAAGTTGATTTAAAAAATTTGCACATCCTGACATTGAATTTAATTTTCTGCTTGCTGTCTCATACCTCAGGGGATCAGAACTCTTATCACAGCTGCTTTGATATTGACCAGATCAATAGAAGTAATAACTCAGGCAATAATTTAAATGCCTGGTAACTTATGACTTACATTCAGCAATTAATGTAAAAAAAACAAAACCATGAATTCAAATGAGTTGTGGCTGGTTGTGATAACAGTCTATGTTGACATTTTCTTTGGTTGGGAATGATTGTATTGTGAATGCAGAAAGATGTGTTTCATTAACAGATTAAAGTCCTACAGCGAGTGAAATGCCAAGGTTATTCCACTGCATACTTATGAGTGTTTTGACTTTTTAGCAATTCTCAATACACACACTTCTTGTACATAGGCTAATGCAGTAATTTAATTTATAAGCTGTCATCCTGAGACACAAAAACACACACACGCATCAATTGTGCTCACACATTTATCGTCATCTTTTTTTCCAGTGTTTTTTTTTAATCAAAGTAAACCATCTGTCTATTTGACTTTAGGGTGATGATTAGTGAGTGGCCAGGAAGCTCCGCACTCAACACAACCAGAGCAATTGAATAGATGTGTATAAGTGTGTGAGCATACATAAACTGTGCTCATACAATCAAACATAGTTTTATAAAGCCAGGATGTAGGTGAAGGAAGGTGAAATGGATTGGCTTATTAGAGTTAGGCATGCATGCCAGACATCAGGGGGCGCTGTTTTACATAAAACAAATAAAATCTTAGAGCAGTGGATCCACTGATTCAAAGCAGAATCCTCACAAATGGATTGGCCCACTAGTCACATATGTTTTCAAATGACGACTTGGAAGTGAAAGTTGGAGTATATGTGGGAGAGTTTTGGTATATCACAGAGTTATAACTGAAGGAATTTATCTAGCAGTAAGTACAAGAGTGCATTAACTAGAAAGCCTGACGCTCTACTTCAAGAATCATTTCTGCATACAAACATTTGAGATTCTCATATACCTTAAATTTGGGCTGAGTGGCTATGCTAAGACAGTCATATATCAATATATAAATCAATACATTAGAACCTTATCAATATTTTATTTCTGTGCACATAATCCTAATAATATAGTTCATTGAATTTCTATTACTGATGGAACTGATGATTGGTTTCTTTTGCACTTTTGCCACAGTTTCAGTTACAATTGTAATATGATATAGTGATACATCACCATGTATTGAATCACAATGCGCCTATGTTTTAATATATTTTGAAATGTAATTTATTCCTGTGATGATAATGCTGAATTTTCATCATCATTACTCCAGTCTTAAGTGTCACATAATCATTCTAATATGCTGATTTGCTGCTCAAGAAACATCTCTTATTACAATAACAGTTGAAAAGAGATTTAAAATAGAATTTTTTTAAACAATGTAAAAGTCTTTACTGTCACTTTTGATCAATTTAATGCATCCTTGCGGAATAAAAGTATTAAATTCTTACTGACCCGAAACTTACATATAAAATGTAATTCATAATAAAATAAGACATTTTTTTTGCTGATTCACTATAAGCTTTTGTAATGGGTTTGAACACTTCATAAGGCATAATCGCTGTCAAATTTGTTGTTTTGCTTTGGAACATATATCTCTCAAACATGTTAGACGAATATAGCCAAAAATAAAATTAAAAAACGTAGCTGTTAGCAGCCTCTTGCTCTCATCTCAAGATTAGCCCATGTGGGTGTGAGTGTGGGTAACACTCACTCTAGTCATGACAGCATCAGCACATCCCCTGTCCCTGAAGAACATGTTTGGTTTTATCGAATGCCAAAGATCAGGGAAGAGTAATCTTTGCCTTTTTTTTCTCTTCTCTTGCCTACTTTCTCACACCTTACCCTGGAGACGTACCACCTGGCCCTGGCAGCCTGGCTCTTTTTTTTTTTCTTGTGTAATTCCTGCCAGCACAGACAGTCAACTAAAAGCACTGGTGTAAACAAATGAAGCTTGTAGCTTGTATTGATTTACATCCTGCCTGCTTTTCACGATGCTTAGAAGCAGCACGATAGGCTTCACGACTGGGATGTAAATGTATGGGGAAAAAAACTCAAAGGAGCTCCATTAATGTATAACACACAGAGAAAGAAGGACAGATGGAGGGATTCGAAAGGAAGTGGTGAGTGAGAGAGTGATTAAAGGAAAAGATCAGAGAGTGTGAATGACAGATGAAGAAGGATGCGTGTGTGAAAGACAGAAAAGGAGAAAGATGTGGAACAGAAGTGAGGCACAATAAGAGCAAGAGAGCGAGAAAAGCAGAAAGGACTGTAACACTATATGAAAATGAAGATCTGTATGTGTGAATGTGATATATATACACATACATCAGATGATCCCTAAGGGGGGGCTATTCCATAACCTAGCAGCCTATTATTGAAGAGAAATTCCTGTTACAAACTCCTACCTCTTAGACTATGCATGCAAACGCATTACCTCCCACACATGGACATCTGATAGACTGGTTTAAAGCATCTCAGATGCAACAACATATATATATATATACATATACATATATATATATATATATATATATAGACAACAACAACATGGAACATACCAGCGCTACTTTTAGCAACAGATGTAATTTTCACATTTTAGGCTTTTTTAAATTTTTCCGTTTTGCAGCTGTAATCCAATTTGCTCAGCCGATCTCTAATGCTTGACCCTTGTGGTCGCCTCAATGTCTTGTTTGTCTCAATGAAGGTGTTACTTAATCACAAGTACGCACATACCTAGAAAACTCTCTTATGCGATTAGGAATGCAATTTTTTTGGATTTAACATCTTTCTTGTACCAAGCACATAAGTATTGTGGCATACACAGTTATATTACACTACTGTTCAAAGGTTCGGGGTCAGTACTGAGACTTTTATTCAGTAAGGATGCATTAAATAAAGTGTCACAGTTAAGAAATGTATAATGTTACAAAAGATTTCTATTTCACATAAATGCCGTTCTTTGAACTTTCAAAGAATTTTGGAAAAAAAAAAACATTTCAAAAAATATTAAACAGCACAGCTGTTTTCAACTTGGATAGTAATAAGTAATGTTTTTTGAGCAGCAGATCAACATATTAGAATGATTTCTGAAGGATCATGTGACAGAGATAATGATTATTTTCAGCAACCATTACTCCAGTCGCCAATTACATATTTTATAAAATGTATATATATTAATTAGAAAACAGTCATTTAAATTTGTATTAGTATTTCACAATGTTAGTTTTACTGTATTTTTGATTACAATAAATGCAGTCTTGGTAAGCATAAAAGACAACAAAATAAAAAATAAATAAAAATAAAAAACTGATTACCTCAAACTTTTGAACAGTTGTATATTTTGTAAATAAATTCATGCATTTTATTGGGTTTCATGTCACTTGGTGAAAAAGCAGTACACAATCATTTTCACCCACAAATGTAAAGCCTTGAGTTATCATGTCATTTTCGTCTGACGAAAAAGCCAATGATGGTTATTTTTCTTAAGACCGGTGCCTCAAAACAAGAGTAAGGAATCACAGGCAGAAACGGGCACTGTTCACCCAGATCCCCATATTTCTTTGTATGTGACTTGTCTTATGGAAAATGACTTTGGCACAGTCGCAAACACACAGAGTTGCCACACATTCTCTCAGAAGGCCTAAAATAGGATTACACCCAGCATACACTTTCCTCCCCCTTTCTTTTCTTCCCTTCCAAAATAATCATAATCCCTCAATGCCTGTCTGAAATGTGGTGCTTTTGTTGAGATTGGGGTGAAAAAGAGATAAAAAAAGAGTGGACATAAATGGCAAAAACATTGAAAATAGAGCATGGAGAAGGTCTGGCAAGCCCATGTGGAATACACATGACTTTGATTTAAACAAAGATATGCGGCTCCACGAGGAGGAGATAGCTTATCACTTCAGGAGAGGGTCACTAGACATACAAAGGCAAAAGCAGAGCCTGAATGCAGATTTGTGATTAAAAACGTGTGATTGGTGAGTTGCAAGGGCAAACAAATTCATACAAATAAATCAAACAAATAAATAAAATCCTCTCCTCGTCAGCTGTAATCTGTTTAAGATTGTTTTCTTTCAAACACAACTTGATATCGTTGCAGATGTACTCGCTGGGTCACACGGTGAAATTGACTTTGGCTATGAGAAGCACTTGTTTTGGAACAGCTGCATCCAAATACAACAAGGTTCCAAACTCATTAGTTGGTCAATGAAGAAATCAAAGATGAAACAAGCTTCAAATGGTTTATATTACCCATCCATCCTTCTCTTGCTTTGTAAGGTGAGATGAAAGCCTGCAGGCGTGCACTTAATATCGTCTCTCTAATTTTAAGGGCAAATATTTGCCTGATTTGTTCGTTTGGCCTTGTGTTCTTTCCAGCACCTGCCTGAGCGTTTACAGAGGTATTTGGAAGTGTTGAGTATAAACTGTCTTTTGTCATTACTAATTAGCCAGTAAACTGAAAACTCCTGTCAGGGTGGTCTGATGTACGGAGGATGCCTGCAAAGGAAAAACAAACTGTCTCTTCCCTAGTCTAGTACAGTCAGACCTGTACTGAGACACAAGTTATAGGTTCTGAAATTTAATAGGAGTTTTATTTCTAGCATCAGTTAGAAGAATATATCCAGGTCATATTTCATCACAAAAAAGGAAAAAAAAAATTATATTATATTTTGAATTATATTTTGATTCTAATTCTATTTACTATTTTAGGATCCGATTTTTGCTCTCTGACATTATTTTAATGAAAATTCTCTTTACTGTTGTGTCCAAAACAACAACAACAACAAAAAAAAAAAACTGAATATTGCAAAAAAACGTAAAAAAAAAAATAATTTAAAAAAAAGTCTCTTTTAGTAATGAAATTTTGTCCGGAAAACATTTAATTTTCATGACAATAATGTCAGTAAATCAATCAATAAGTCAAATAAATAAATGTTCTTTATTTTCTTTGTGCAAAATATAATTTTATATATTTTTTTTCGTTTTGATTAGGGGGCGAAATATGAACCACATTTGTTGTGGGAATCACCCAAAAGCTCTTGTCCATTGTTGATTTTCAGTCTTACAAAATATTTTAATATCAGTTTTTATTACAGGGGACTAAAAGTAGATCAGCTGATAAAACTGTCATCAGACACGCGATCACTGATCTAGAGCCAGTTTAATGTTTCCCATCAAAGCCTCAATCGTCATAGGTCAACAAATTCAACTGAACCTCAAGCAGTTATGATTATTACAACATCAACACGATAAACACAACAGCAAAAGAGTCATAAACCTAAAAAATGTGTGCACAAGCAGGTCCAGCCAAAGCCAGACGCAGGGCACTGAAATCTGCACTCTGTGCCCCTTGAATGTGACAACTATAACTGATTCGACTTGAAAGGTTTTAAGGTCCAACAATGGCTTCAGATTAAGCAGGGCCGATCGAGAGACGCTTTTAAAGGGCTGCAGCGCAAAGACTCACAGTGTCATGTCACTGTCTTTATGTTTGGAAATTTCATCAATAAGAGGGAGAGTGAGTTGGATGGTGGGGGCTTCGGTTCAGGATATTCGTGGCAGTTAATTTTGTGTGCAGGAATGTATGTGTGCAGTGGAATCGTTGGCCACAGTGGTCTGCTTGATCACAAGAGAGTTCCAACAGTGTTGCCTAAACATATCCTGGGAAGGGGGCTGGGGAGCCGGTCACAATGCAGGCTCTGTTCGTAAGAGTGAGGGCACAAACACGGCCCTCAATCAGACAGCCCCGCTCTTCAGTGACCTCTTTAGGACCATATGCAAAGATTTACTCATGATCCAACAGGAAATCAGCACATAAACTGTGCAAGCTGTTCGGAGGCGATATAAATGATGTAGGGAAGACAACATGTTTTACACTTTCTGCCATAACTCACAGACTACTACAAACCCACCTGCTAATTCTTCTAGTAGAAAAAAAAATTATATGTGCCAACAGTAACCGTACTATTAATGAACTTAAAATAATGATGAGATCATACTATTAAAGTAAATACAAAAAGTCAGAGTGTTACATTCACCCCACAATTACATTATATTAACTACTTTATAAAAAAGCGCACCTCAAAGTAATAATAATATTAATTTAATACAGCATAGTCTCACTTTTATATGGTGCTAATTATATTAGCTTTTAGGAATCAGTGTTTAGGGCAAAAGTCTAGTGATATATATGCTGCAATGTTTTGAAATGCTTTAAATATCCGTGTAATAATATATAATGATCATCTGATTTATTAAAAATGGTGTTCATCTAAATACTTTGATTTTGATAAAAAATATTTTTTTCCCTATTAAATTCCTGTTAAAATTGCCTCGACTTTACAAGATTGATAGCATCTCTCATCCATTTTTTAATCCAAAAACCCAAAACAGATACAACGGGCTCAATGGCAACTCTAGAAAGTAGAAAAAAGAGCAAGTGTCATCATCTTATTTGTAACAAAACCAAAGGTTCAAGTAAACTGATGAGTTTGAAGAACCTTGAAGAATCAACGTTGTAATAAACATTATTGAAAGGTGTGGTTAATGTTCTCATAGGATAAATATATAACTGAATTGAAGAAAGACAGCGAGATTGTCAGAGAAAGCAAAATGAAAAAGCAGGGAGCCAGACAGCTTCATCCTCCTCACACACTCCAGGAATGAGACAATGGAAGATTCCAGGAACCCTGGCCAAAAACTATCTGTCCGCCAGGCCAAGGAATGTCTGCCAGCATGTTGTGACATGAGGCATTTGAAGAAAATTTAGGGAACCTTCAGACATAAAAAATGTCTACAATAACCTAAATCTAACCAGAAAAATTGTCTGAAGTTGGTATTTTTAACCTTTTTCCTAGAACGGCTTATGACCCGGCCGACACTGAACTTGCACAGAACGCATCTATAAATACCTCAAAAAATCATTGAAAAACATGTATTTGGATTAGGTTTAATAACTGTATTCTGTGCGTTCGCTAGACTTATCTACATCCGCATCAATAGCAAGATGTTGTGCTCCTTTTTTAATCCTGAAGGCTGATATGAGCTTATTCAGGAAAGACCTTTGGGACCTTCAGTGCAGCCAAAGAAGGAAACTCAATTTGGAAAGTTGGAAATGCTTGGGTTGCTCTTCCTTCCTTGCCACCAGCGAAATATACACATAAAAAAAATCTGAGCCATTTTTTGCCTTTTGTAGTGATCTCAAAAAAGAAGCCCAGGCCTCTATGGTGAGCGCACAATGCTTTGCTTCCATAAACACTTCATCAGCAATTCAATTACCTGCGTGCTGACAGATCTGGTGCCATCTGTTGCGTCCACCGTCAGGTTGTAATGGGATTTCTGTTCTGCGTCCAGCGCTTGGGCCACAATCACCGTCCCACTCGCCTTTCCCACCTCAAATCGACTGTCAGAATTACCACCTGTTGAGAGGAGGTTTTCACCACAACCAAAATGGACAGGAAATTAGACGGCCATCATCACAAGTTAGGCAGTTGAAGACAGGAGAGAAAGAAAAAGAGAACTGCACAGGTGGCAAAAGTCAGAGTGTCACGTTTGTGGTTTCACAGCAACTGTTTCACACTTTTTGTGTATGCCACAATAATGGCTGTCTGACATACATTCTGCCATTTCGCTGCCTTAGTGCGGGAAAATCCATAAGATTATGTGTTCCTATTAATAAAAATATGAATTAATGACAAAATAAGAGGGTCCACAATAAAAAATAAAATAAGGAAAAATCTTTAAAAAAAATTATTTGACTGAAAAAGTATGCCAAACTACTGAGGGTTTAATTTCAAGAATTATATCATTTTTTTTCCTTTATATTAGGGCTCATACGATGACACTTTCTTTAATTTCTTTATATCAGGACAGCTAATAGCTATGCCCCAAACAAAAACATCAAAATAAATTAAAATTCTGAAATTAAAAAAGCATGTTCCTCATAAAAGAGGTACACTCAAGTTAGTGTATGTCATGAAATTGCATCTCTAATATATTTTGGAAAAAAGTACTAGATTAAATATAGTAATGTACACAAATTAAGCCCCATCTTTGACCCACATACTGACTTAAATCAGTTTTTAAAAAAAAACGTTGCTTTGCATTTTGCGATTATGGCCAGTAACCACAAGGGATTAAAAACACCACAACAGTATTGCCAATGTATAATTTTCTATATTTTATATGAATTTTGAGTAAACAATGTTCATCTGATTTCAGCAATTTGATGTGCATTTCATTAACTTTCATTCATTTCCATTCATTTGTATTACACAAATGTATCGGTTATCCTGCTCTTTTGATCTCGCCAGCATCCATTGACCAGCAGTACTTTTTTTTTTTTCTGATTATATGACCAAACATAAATATAACAATAATAAAAACACCATACATGAAAGAAAATGAGAGCACTGGGCCTTCAAAGTGAACAACACTGAGTGCATAGGCTGGCAAGGAAAACAAGCTACTCTTTATGGATCTCATAGGGTGGACAGAGACAAGTTTTGATTTAATGATCTAAATGTAACTCTTTCATTGCCAGCTCGAAAGCACTTAGGGAAAGAAATTCAACACTTGGGACCTGGTGCAACCAATGTGAAACAGTCACAAAAGCATGAGTACAAAAGCACATGACAGATCTCATAATGGCCACGCACAGTAGAATTAGGAGATCTGCGGCAGATACCTTCTGCAGTGCAGTTCAGGTCGCAAGCCATCTGAACGATGTAAAACAGCTCTTTAGCCGCCATGTCCTCTTCCAAAGCCAAGAAGAGGAGCAAGGAGACAAACAAGAGGAGGAAAGCAGAAGGAGAGAAGCAGAAGAAACCAAACCATTCCAAAACAAGGAAGAGAGAAAGTAAAAGCTGTCAGTGGTTAAAAGATAAAGGGACAGGAAGAAGATGCAATCTATTTTTAAGTCATATTATGAGAGTTCTATTGAGAAGATAAACACAAAGATAGAGGTTATTTCATGCAAAGAAACTTCCTCTAAAAAGATTTCATCATCTTAGTTTGTTACAAATTTGCATACTAACAAAGATGCTTTTTAGAATCCAAGCTTCAGCATGTAAAGGTCAAACAGGTCAAACCAACACACAATAAACTCTCAAAATCTACATCCACCATACCTGTTATTTCAAACCAGACTGGTGTATCCACAGACTCCATAGTGATGACCCCGACCATGTGTGCCACGGGGTCACTCTCCATGATAGAAAAGGAGTAAAATGGCTCGTCAAATGCCAGAGGGACCTCACTCGGCTCCGGCTTGGGGATCCATTCGATGTGTAGACGGCAGGTGGACGATTTCTGGGGTCGGCCATTATCTACTGCTTTAATCTGGTGGATTAAATGTTGAAAAGAAGACTAAGATGTGTAAAATTAAATAATACAACTGCAATATATATTACAGTGTTATTCATTAACATAACAACTGTAACGTTTAAAAATGTATGGAAGCTAACAGAGGCCATAAAATAGTAAGAATAATGGCTTTCGGATTCATATGTTCGGGAACAATAATAATTTTTGCAATTCTCTAAGTGGTGCTGTTAGTGGTACCAAAATGGCAATACTTCAAGCTCAGTCAGGGAGAGATACAACTATCTGAATACTACTAAATGTGGGAAAGACAGAACGGTACCAGAACACCTGTCACTGTGACTTTAGAAAGCGACAGATGTTAGGTAATGAAACAATGGGAGGTCTGGCAAAAAATGTCATGGGCCACATGGGCAGGCAGGAAGTTCACTTTACACTTGTAAAACTTCAATCAAAGGGACATTCAGGAAAAATGTAGTGTGTCAAATCTGAGAGCTCAGGTTTCTACATTCCAAGTCATAATAACGGTGCTGTAACTCAAGCTAGTAATCAAATACATTCGCAATAAAAAGGATCCAGTTTTTCATATCTTGCTATTTGCACATTTCTAATCTTTCCAAGAGTGCAAATACAAAATTACAGAATATGTGCTACAGAAATGGCTAGGTCCTCACCGTTAAGATATCATAATCTCCAGCAGAAGAAAACTTCTTAAAGGAAACCATGCCAGTTTTGGGCTCAATGAAAAACTTTCCCTGTTCGTCTCCGTCCTCGATGCTGTAGGAAATCACAGCGTTTGGCCCTTCGTCTCGATCTGAGGCGATGACGCGGTACACGGGATCTCTCCTGAGGGCACGCTCTTTCTCCAGCTTTTCACGCTCTGGGAGTTTGATTTTGTAGACTTTCTCCATAAACTGTGGTTTGTTGTCATTCTCATCCAGGACTTTGACGATGACACGGACGGTGGCGGACTTCACAGGAACACCCTGATCAGATACTGTGATCTGTAACAACAATGCAGAATGCAAATTATTTTAAAGATTTTTCACATTTGTTAATGAAAGATTTAAGACTATTATTTCACAGTCTTTCTACTTGAAAATTTTGTGTTGAATTCAGTGTTACTTGCTGTTTCTTTAACACAATTTTCACTCAGAAATTGTCGCAACAAATACAAAGTATATCCTAAACCAAACGATGAATGGATAGATGGATAGACAGACAGATAGTTCGATTATAGAGTGTATTCTTCAGACCAATTAGTTGACTAGATGTTCAGACAACCCACTGACTAGTTGGTTTTGAAAATATGTACTTTTGCACATCCCTTCTTTAAAGTTGGATTTGTTTGGATAGAAAGCTTCAGGGGGCTGATAGAAAAGCCTGTAATTGAGGGGGCGGAAAGATTCATTCACTCAGTTCTAGTTTTCTTCTTTCCTTTCATGTCGAATAACCCCAAAACCCAAGAGAGCCGGTGTCATAATGAACATTTTCAATTAGAGTGACAAAACGAGCGGTACTAAGAGAGGTGCACAGGACAATAATAGAACACACTCAAGAATATCTGACACAAGTGATTGAAAACCTTCATTATAGCGAGAGCTTCAATCAATCGCCGTTCAGAGGTAAAGAAAAATCTCCTGTTCAGAATACGGGGGCAAGTGTTCCTATCTAAGTCAATTGGCTGACAAAACTGAAGTAATTCCCTGTGCGCTTAGCTGTCAAGCAATCTTTTCAGATACGTGCGGCAAGGCGGGAAGGGTTTCCGGAGGTGAGAACAGACTGTTATGCATTTCTCTGTATGATTACAGGATGACATTTTTCCTAGATAATTTCTCTTTTATGACATCTGATGAAAAATATCATCATGAATGCAATAGCCAGACGGTTACATGGCATCAAAATGGATATGCTTTTTTATTTTTCTCAAAGCTCGTCCAATCAGATTGTGTTGCTTGCAGACCTAGAAAGGAATACTTCACGCATTATTCAAAAAGATGGTAGATCGGTTTAGTTCAATTGTATTGCAAGCGCACTATAGTGACAAAAAAAGAAAAGATAAAAAGTTTACAAAAATGCACCAGTTCTAACAGCAAAGCACTTTTGTCAACAATATGAACAGTAATAGGTACAGGAGCTGTTCCAAACGAGAAGAGACGGCAGCACTAAGCAGACGCTGGTGGTTTGTTGAGCATATACTCATGCTCAGAAAGCTGTGTCCAATCTCAGCTGGTATCCGTTAACCAGCTCATTAATTTCCTCTGGATATCTTCAGTTAATCTCGGAAAATGCCCATTTGAGGCGGCTTAATGGTACGCTGGTGCAGAAGCTGATGAATGCAAACACACACAGAGATGCAGACATACACACTATTTCCTGCTAATGAACTCAGCAGACTTGTGTAGCTTTGAATGTCTACGGCAGGAGCAGATGAATAACAGGCCAGCACAAGCGTTTAAAAGCATCTGTTCAACACTCTGTAAAAGCAGTCCAGCTTTTGGTGTCAACAGCGAGCAGACCTATAATGTGTATTTGTTTTCAAATCTGTCCAGTGCCATCCAACTGTTTTGGCCAAACAGATTTAATTGAACAGGAAGACAAGGGACTCAGTCAGCTCCAACAGTCCACTCTCCTGAGCTAAGCATGTTTATATGCCTGCAATGCACTGCTTTAAAAAAAAAAAAAAAAAATTTTCCAGCAACTGGAAATAATTCAGACAGTTTAAATTAAATGTCCAGTTAAAAAATATATATATATACACCATGTCTGCTTTGAACATCAATTATATAACTAGTCTGAGTAAAACTGTCCACAGGGTGAAAATCAAGTTTGATTGCTTAAAGTTACAGCACACCTCTCTTCAACAAGATGTAAGATTTTCAGACATTACATTTATGCATTTGACTTTATCCAAAGTGACTTACATTGCACTGAAGCTACATTTTCATCAGTTTACGCATCCGCTGAGAAGTGAACCCATGAATTTGGTGTTGCTAGCTCCATACACTACTGCTTGAGCTACCATGATGCTATCAATCATGTTCGCAGCAGGATGGCTTATAAATCCCCCAGGTATGATATGCGTCGAGTTTCATTTGGAAACAAATGTATGCTTTAAAAAAAATTTTTTAGGTGAATGTTTCTTTTTTTGAATGAGTCATAATATAGACTCTGAACATCACACCATATTATTCATTAAAAAGACCTGAACGAACTTGGTAACCAAATGAATGAGGTGTTTTGGACATGTTGTTGGATGAGAACTGAACTGAGCTGGATGATGACATCGCTGAATCAACAATGAACTGACTTAAACTGAAAAATTGACTGTTTACAATTTTCTTTATAGAGAATGGAATTTTGTTTGCATTATTGAAACATTACTTTCCTGTTTAACACTGTAAAGTTGCTTTGACACAATCTGTATTCTATAAAGTGCTATATAAATAAAGGTGACTTGACTTGACGTGTAGTTTGTTGTTAAGAGTTATGAAAAACGAATGGGTCGAATGAATGATTCAATGACTCATTACAAGCAAAAACTCTGGCTCCACATAGTGGTGTAGCAATGTAACCTGCAAAAAGAGATTGCAAATGATTCAGAGAAATAAATCAGAGTCAGTGGAATAAATCACTGCTAATAGCGTGCAAGCATCTTAAACATTAGAAATGTGTTCTGAGCTTTCAGTGCAGGCAAGGCAGTAACAGATTTCACATGCCTGGAAAAAGGCAAGCATCCTCAGACGCTCAGGGTGTGTTCCCAGAAATACATTTCATTTCTTTGCAAATCAACTTAAGTGAATCGTGGACATATTTTCCTGTTAGGTTTTGCAAGTTCAAAGAGCAACAGGGCAGAATCTCCGACATGCTGTGCATGCCTCAACATGTTCCAGAGTAGCTCTCTGTGTTCTTTATTTTCTCGAATTTCCCTCTCTTCCCCCTCTAGAAGCATTTGCACCTTACACCTTCCTTCCCAGATCTGAAGTGTGTGTGAAAGTTTGCAGGGTGCTCTCCCATATATCTCACACACACACACACTCAAATGCCCTCACCCTGGCCCCGTATAACTGCCTCTCCCTCCCCCCAAGTATGTGCTGCCTCCAAATAACCTCTGCGAGCCCCTGAGCACCAGCTCATTCCCCCGTCCTCCTGCGGTGCTATGCCTAGCAGGACTGTACTGCCCCTGGGAGAGAGACAGCCAGACTCCTGGGCTGGAGGCTGGGTGAGACAAGACCCCTGGGGGGAAGATGTCAATAAAGAACTTCCTGTTGCTGGACCCCTGACTAAACGCTGGCCAAAAACCCAAATTGCTGGGGTTGTCATGACTACTGCAGTGGGCCACCGGAGCCGTGCGGGGAAAAAACAAAAACAAAACAAAAATGGAGAAACAGGATCCAGAAGAATGCTTATGAACAGTGACTGGACTGATGGTCATTTGTTTATTAGTCTTTCCCTCAGCCGGTCTAAAGCTGCGCGGTAATCAAATTAAGCATGAGATCATAACTGTCCCAGAAGGTATTTAAACAGAGAAGAAGACAGTTGCTTTGAACAAGTTGTGAGAAATGTATCCAAAATTCTCATTATGATCTTTCTGTTTCCATGGACTAGATATCCAACCAACTAGAGAGTCTGTTGAGTTTTTTTTATTTATTTGCATATTCTTTTAGTGTTAATGCTAAATTTAGGACCGCTGTAATGAACAATTCAGTGTGCCTGTTGAGTTTTCCTAGGTCTTCAAAGCGATTCTATTGGCAAAAATTATTTTTAATGGTTAGCCTATTCAGTGGTTGATTACAAAATTGCTTCATGGTGCATGCCGTCTGAACTGTTAACAGGATCATTAATAGTTTTTGTTACATAGTATATAATAATATATAAGCAAAACTATAGATTTTGAAACAAACCATTTCGTTTATAAATTTTCTTTGTGTTAGTAATCTTATGTTTCATAGGCTAACCACACTAGCCTAGCATATCGTATGCTAACAAAGCCTCTCTACCTTAATTTGAAACTAAGAGCAAACATGGCTTTCAGTGTTAGTTGCTTATGATATGCAAACTGCTACCATATTTTCATTTATCACAGTCATGAACAAACTGTTTTTTTTGCATAAATAGTTTTACCGTCTACTGCACGGGTACTTTAATAATGAATTAATCAGAAGTCCCGCACATTCTCAGGAAATAGCTTACTTCCACATTGAAAAGATGAGGTTAATATGCCAATGTTAAATTATATATATATATACTGAACAAAATTATTAACGCAACACTTTTGTTTTTGCCCCCATTTTTCATGAGCTGAACTCAAAGATCTAATACTTTTTCTATGTACACAAAAGGCCTATTTCTCTCAAACTCAACAGGTGGACTGAAGTGTTCCCGACATCAAACAAAAAAAAAAGTACTCAAGCCGAAAGTATGCGTTCAGCATCATGCTATCAAGCAGCATAACAGACTGTTTCTGTACAGGTAAATTAAGTGGAAACTTTGGAAGCTTTAAATGTGGTTTCAAGTCAGGGCTGGCTACCAACTTATGCAGTTTCGCTTTTCTATTTAAAAATGCAATTGAAAGGGTAAAAGACAATGTCAGGTGAAAAGCATTCCTTACAGCTCCTTACACTTAAGACAGCTAATATATGGCATTCAAGTTAAATGAAACTACACGCACCACCAAACTCCAATCTCAACAGTTAAAAAAAAAACAAAAAAACAAAAATCTTTGTTAATTAAAAACCAGAGGAACAGATTTAACCTTGAGGGGATCTTGGCACTTCTAATATTTAGCTGAAATGTTGGCATTAGCTAATTACAAGCCTACTGTCTATCGGTCAGCAGGCTTTGCTTTGAAGTCAAGGGGAGCTCTTCACATCACTGAGGCATGGAGAGAAGAAGGGAGGACAGACACTGGATGAGCGTATGCTGCAGGGTGTACTATCCTCCCTTGTTTTATTTCCTGTCCGCATCGCTCCTGCCATTTACAATACAATTAGAGTCACAGAAATGGGTATGAAAGCACTGGTAAGGGCTGGTGCAAATTCGGCAAATGAAACGACATGCCACAGGCTTTGAATTGCACAATCTATAACGATAATTAAAGGAGCATCAATCTGTGAACTTGGAAGTCTTCTGTGCACAAATTGAAGTATCAGCAAACTGCTGTTGGGTTTTTGGGGAAGGAAGGGAGCGGGTGGTAAAGAGTTATTGAGAAAGAGAGGGAGAGAGTGAGAGAAGCTTGCAGCTCAATTAAAATCCACAAGTATAAACTTTGGCTGGGCAGGGTGACGCTTCCTGTTCTGGCCTGCCTAATCCTGAGACGGCACACTGAGAGAGAACAAAGGCAAACCCCCACATGCATGTATACACACACACCTACCCTCCACACACACCGGATATCTAAATCTCCTCAGAAGCACTTTGGAAGGAATGGAGGGGGAAGAATGCAGTCCGCTCACGTGTGCAGTTTAGAGTGGTGGCTTATGCCTTGGGTCTAAACAGTCAAAGTTAACCTGTTAACCCGCACCGGCCCGAAGGGCGTGTTTAGGCGTGTCTGTGCTATTTATTACCTTTGTTTTAAAACAATATTCAATCAACTATCATAAACTATATATAATTTGGAAGCTAAGACACTAAAGATCCATGTTCTGAGCTTGTTTTTTAAATCAATATACCAGAGAGGAAAGGGTTAACATAAATGCTGAAGGACCGGCCATTAAAACATGTACAAATTTTTACTCCTCTGTTTTCCCCCTTTTTAGGATTTTTTCCCCTTTTCTCCCAAGGAGTTCTCTTTAAAATAATATTCTAGGTTAAAGTTTAAACCAGAAAACAACAACAAAAATGGTTCACATTACATTATATTATATTTTATTATACACTACAGTTCAAAAGTTTGGGGTCAGATGCATTAAACTGAATAAAACTGATAGTAAATGCATTTGTAATTTTACAAAAAAAAATTGTATTTCAAATGTTGTTCTTTTAAACTTTTCAAAGATTCCTGAAAAAAATGTATCATGGTTTCCACAAATATATAAAGCAGCACAACTGATATCAACATTGATAATATTATGAAATGTTTCTTGAGCACCAAATTATTATATTAGATTTCTGATGAATCATGCAACATTGAAGACTGGAGTAATGATGCTGAAATTTCAGCTTTGCCACCACAGGAATGAATTACATTTAAAATTACATTAAAACAGAAAACAGGGTTTTTTATTGCAATAATACTTTACAATATTATTGTTTTAACTGTATTTGTGATCAGATAAATTCTTTCAAAAACATTAAAAACTTTGACTGAAACCAAATTTTTGAATGGTAGCATATATTGTTATTTTCAGGTTTAAAAATATAATTTTATATAATACAATTTCTAATATATATATATTAGGGCTGTCAACGCGTTAACGCATGCAGTTAATTTTACAATCCTTAATGCGTTAAAATAATGTAACGCAATTAAAGCAAAATTACTGCAGCACAATTTCTATTCTAACCGTTTAACCCAATTTTGCTTCGCTGTTTGCAATCAGATCATTTTAAGCCGCTAAACTCTGGGAAAGTTTTCAGTCCACTGATCCAGTAAGCAAATTCATTCAAACAATCCGTCCAAAACAGCGCTAATATAAAGGAAACCAGGCTGATTACATCAGAGATTGCAGAGAGAACAGAGACTCGCGTTGCGTTTTCAGTGAATTATTCCAGTGTGTTTCGGTTTACTTTGCTGGATATAGCAAATGATGACAAAATAAACATTTGAAACAAGATAAATGGTCTATGCTTAATTTCATGAAGTGTGCGATTAATCGCGATTAATCACAGAAAAAGGGTGTGATTAATTTGATTAAAACTCTATTGACAGCCCTAATATATATATAATAAATTGCTAAAAAAAATACTAGGTAATACCAGGAAAGCACCAGAGATGCTGTATGTACAGTATAAAGCTAAACTTTAACCCAGAACACTCCTTAATTAGGAGTAAAAAAAGAAACAGAAGAAAAAACTGACCTTTTTGGACTTCTCTAAATATGAGTTTGAAGAATTGTCTGCTCTAAGGAATGAACATGTGATTGGTGGATGCATCCGGGTGTTTTTACCTCCAGAATATGTTCATCCTGTTGTTCTCTATCCAGCTTCCGAGACGTGGTGGTGACCAAACCTGCAAACACATGAACACAATTTAATAACCACAGTACAACTCAGCATAACTTTAGCCAAATAAATCAAATTCTACTGCAATGGTTTGACTTGGCTAAACTAAAACTTGCAATTATTGTAATAACAATTATCAAAAAAATTATTATATTTTAGAATGTACCCAGACTTTCTCAAGAGAGGCTTTGTCAGATTTATTTAACTTCTAGGTGCAATATTGTGAAGTAAACACACACACACACACACACGCACACACATAAACAAACAAACGTTAAATACCACAGATTCAGCTGCACAGAACTGCAGTAAAGGGCACAGTGATTGTGTCAGGACTGTTTTAAAGCTGAACAAACAACCACGGTTTAAACACACACTCACACTGCCTGAAAACAGAACACAAACCTCACACACCACCTTCAACCAAACACACAACACGCATCATAAACAGCTTCAAGCACTGAAATGATGAGTGAAATGTCAATGCAACCATCACTGTGTTTACTCCATATATGATTCTGTTAGTAGGTGTGTGTTTTTCTATGGTGGGTTTTAGAAGATTTCTCTCAAGGGCTTTACATTACAGGAAAATAAGATCTGAGCACAACGGAAATCCAATTGGAAGTCAATTCAAGTGCCGAACCCAGTGAAGAGAGAATATACAGGCAGACAGAGATCGAACAACAATGCAAATGAGCACATGTTTCTGTAAAGAGCGTCTCGATTGCAGATAATAAGCAGACTTGTGTTTCCCCGTCAGTATAATTGTACATTAGATGGGGCAGAGAGCGCAGCGGACGTTGCCAGCCCCAGCCACACGAGAGATGCCTGCCAACCGCACTGCGTCTGATTAGTGCAGAAAAAGGATTTCCGAAACCAGAAGCCATCAATGGCGCACATGCAGGCAGCAGAAATAGCCCGGCCGCAACACGCCTCCTGCTCCTGGTCAAAACTGTGTTAGGCTGCTAAACCATCTCTCTCTCCTTTGCTCTTGAAGTCATACATGGGAATGAAAATAAACTCTGAATGTGGGCAGTCATCAAAATCTCTGCACTTTACAACATGATATTAAAGGCAAATCTACATATATAAACTAAGAACTTGACTGGAATGGAAAAGGATATTAAATAGGGACATTTAAAAAGGTTTTATAAGAGTTTGCATGAATTTAACGTATAGGCAACCCTCTACAGTAAATCACTCGCATATGCGACTAAATCTTCACTCTGGGCGACTAAATGATGTCTAATATTTGCCATTGGCTAATAAATTCTTCGATTTCACTCACCAGTGTGTGTGTTAGAGGCTAATTACAAGTTTAGCACAGATATATTTTCACTCTCCAAACACTTGCTTGAGAGTTTCACTCTCGGTCAAGTGATCTGAACTATTTAAATTCATCTCAATGGATGTGCAGCGCACCTGTATTTGACGTACCGTAAACTCTAGTGTGAAGGCGCACGACTCGCAGTCACTTTGCTGATAGCATTGTGTTTCTCACACACACGCAAAGGAAGAGAGAGAGAGAGAGCAAGAGAGTTTTCCATGCAGAATTGACGTGCTACATGTAAACGATATCCTTTGTTGTATTTTGTCAAAATTCATTTGGAATTTTTCAGCTTTTAAGAACAACCATAAGATACTGCCGGTTTCTCTGGTAGTAGGCGGAACTAATGCGCAAATGGCAATCTCATTGGCTGGTGCTCATCTATTATCGTCCCTGTTTTGATTTCAGCAAATTAGTTCGAGAGAACGCAGATAACGTGATTAATATTCATGAACCCAGTAGCTCATTAATACTTAGTGTGAATATCAGTATAATTGTTAGTTTATTTTTTCTCTTTTTTTTACAGAAACACTGAATGACCAACAATATCTTAAGCACCCCCACCAGTCTTAAGTTCAGTTAAAATGACAAATATGCATTCATACATGGTTACCAAGTTTTAATTCTACGTTCTATCATTAAATAATGCTTGATAATCATAATATTATATTATAATGCTTGACTGACTGATGTTAAAAGTGAACTTTCAGATATTTAAAAAGCTGTGCCATTTTAAAGACAAAAGCTTTATATACTGTATATAGTAAACTAAAAAACTTACAAGCCAATGGCAATTCTATTGCTAAGGTGTGCGTAGAGGGTTGATGGGAATTTTTTTTCACTATAGGCTGAAAAGTAATAATATGTAGCTGATATTCTGAATTAATCTAAGTTAGGCAGCTTTTAAATATCTCCCAGGAGTTTTGGTGTTCAGAATATGCAGATATGACTGTGACGTTTTCCTCTACTGAATATGATTTCATGAATTCATATGAATATATATTGCATATGAGGGATGCATATTGAGCTAAAACTGAAATTACCCTCCATTTCCTAGATATCGTTCCACATGAGCGTATGTGTGTAATGCTGAGGTGTAAGGCATCTGGATGGACCTTAAGAACATGCTGCTAAAAAGACGCCCGTGTTCGTACCCACAATCCATTTCTTCTCCGGCCAAAAAAACGGTGGTCTCCTGCATTGTGGGCTAAGCATGGCAAAAGAAAATTACAGTTCAGCCATTTTTGGAAAAAGAAAAACAAGAACATTTAAGCTAGGAGACTGGAGAGCAAATGCAAAGAAAGAAAGAAAGAAAGAAAGACAGACATTTTAACAAACAAATTTTCCACTATAAAGAACACTGTCCAATGGAAAGGTTCCCTGGATGTTAAAGGCTCTTCACAAAATCGTCATAAATACCAACAAAGACCCTTTATTTTAAGATTGTATGGTGGTCAATGCTAGTTTGGTCAGTCAACATTGCTTTTCCAGTGAAGTTAGTTGACCAATGAACTCTAGTTAAGCTACATAAGAAACGTCTCGGTTACGTATGTAACCCTCGTTCCCTGAAGGAGGGAACGGAGACGTCACGTCGGATGACCGACGAATTGGGATCTCGCTTAGAGAGACCAATCCACTTCGAGTGTAAACTAAACGAGCCAATGCACATTGGCATGCAATGATTGCATCCAGCTGCCGCTGATCACAGCATGAGCATAAAAAGGCAGCCGGTGCAACGCATACCAGGTTTTGTGCTAGTGCGTCAGTGCCGAGAGTTCCCTCGGTCAGGGAGTAGAACAACTGGCAGTGAGAGGTTTCTGGAGAGGCAAACAGGTCTACCTGAGCGGCTCCGAAACGTTTCCAAAACAGCTGGATTGTCTGGGGATGGAGTCTCCATCCTCCCGGGAGCGTAGCTCGTGAGAGCTCGTCGGCCGTACGGTTGAGCAGACCCGGAATGTCAATGGCACGAAGTGACCTCAGAACCTTCTGACTTTAAAGGAGGAGGTGGCGGGCGAGTTGCGACATGCGACGGGAGCGCAGATCGCCTTGTCGGTTGATGTACGCAACGGTCGCCGTGTTATCCGTTTGGACCAGCACGTACTTGCCTCGTAAGCACCCTTTGAGATGGTTCAAGGCAAGGCGCACTGCTAACAACTCTAGGCAATTGATATGCCAGTGCAGTTGGGGGCCCGTCCATACTCCCGACACTGGATGCCCGTAGTACGTGGCCCCCCAGTCGGTGGTTGAGGCATCCGTGTAAACCACAGCATGCCTGGAGACCTGTAAACCGGCTGAGGTGCGAAAGCACCAAGTCCCTGTGTGTACACAACTGATGCTGAGACTGAGCTAGTACGAGCCAGTCATTGGGAATGCGAATGCCCTGTTCTCTCAGGGGAACAAGAGCTGCCTCCGCAACTTACGTGAAGACACGGGGTGACAGGGACAGCCCGGAGGGCAGGACCTCGTACTGATATGCTCATCCTTCGAACGCGAACCGCAGAAATGGTCTGTGGCACGGAAAGATCGACACATGAAAGTACGCATCCTTCAGGTCGATTGCAGCAAACCAATCTCGGGGACGGATGCACCCGAAGATGCGTTTCTGCGTCAAAATTTTGAACGGTAACCGGCGAAGGGCCCGGTTCAAGACATGCAGATCCAAGATTGATCGTAACCCACCGCCTTTCTTGGCTACAATGAAGTAAGGGCTGTAAAGCCCTGTATTCATATCGGCTGGAGGGACCGGCTCTATCGCATCCTTGCCAGTAGGACTGCGATCTTCGCGCGCAAGACAGGAGCATCGGCCGCCTTTACTGTCGTGAAGCGGATGACACTGAACTTGGGGGGATGCCGGGCGAACTGAATAGCATAGCCGAGGCTGATGGTCCGCAGAAGCTAACGAGATGGGTTGGGTAGCGCTAGCCAGGCACCCAGACACCGTGCAAGCGGGACCAGCGGAACCACCGCCGTACCCGCAGTGGGGCAGCGAGGAGGAACGCAGGGACCCAACTCGGGCGGCTTGTGAGCGGA